GTTGATCTTCCAAAAGGGCGTAAAGCCATTGGGAACAAGTGGGTTCTCAAAATTAAAAGAAAAGTGGATGGATCAATTGACAAATACAAGGCTCGACTAGTGGCAAAGGGGTACACACAACAGGAAGGAATAGATTATGAAGATACATTCTCACCTGTTGTGCGTTTCAATTCTATTAGACTCATTCTGGCAATAGTAAACAGTTTAGATTTAGAATTACATCAGATGGATGTAAAAACCGCATTTCTGAATGGTGATCTGGATGAAGAAATCTATATGGAACAACCATTAGGTTTCATTGAAAAAGGAAAAGAAAATAAAGTTTGTAAACTTAAAAGGTCCATTTATGGATTGAAACAATCATCCAGACAGTGGTATTTGAGGTTTCACAAAGCAATAACCTCATATGACTTCCAATGATAGAGGAAGACCACTGCGTCTACATTAAGCGGTTTGAGGGTAATTTTGTCATATTATCCTTATATGTAGACGATATACTATTAGCCGGAAATAGTCTAGATTCGTGGTGGCTATTAAAGAATGGCTTTCGTCGAATTTTGAAATGAAAGACATGGGTGAAGCAGAGTATATACTTGGAGTTAAGATCCAAAGAAATTGTTCAAAACGAATCCTCTCTCTTTCACAAGAGAATTATATCAACAAGATTCTTGAGCGATTTAACATGAAAGACTGCAATCCCATGAGTACACCCGTTGCCACTGGAGTGGCTTTGAGTTCTGACATGTGTCCCAAAACCGAATCCGATAAAAAGAAGATGGAAAGAGTTCCATATGCCAGTGCTGTTGGTAGTCTGATGTACGCAATGATGTGTACAAGACCAGACATCTGTTATGCAGTGGGACTGGTGAGCAGATTCCAGTCTAACCCCGGTGAAAAGCATTGGAAAGCAGTGAAGAGGATCTTGAGATACTTAAAGGGCACTTCCAATTATGCACTGTGCTACGAAGGAGGTGACCTGCGTCTTGTTGGGTACTCCGATGCTGATGTAGGCGGAGATGAAGAAGAACGAAGGTCAACTTCAGGTTATACCTTCTTGCTCAACAATGGCGCCATATGTTGGAGTAGCAAGAAGCAAACGTGCATTGCCTTACATTCAATGGAAGCTGAGTTTGTGGCATGCACTACAGCAGTGCAAGAGGCTTTATGGCTGAAGAGATTTATAGAACACCTTGGATTTGGAAATGAGAGTACCAATCCGGTGATGATATACTGTGACAATACTGCAGCCATAGCCTATACTAAAGATCCTAAGTATCACAGCAAAACCAAGCACATTGACATCAAGTATAATTTCGTTAGAGATTACATAGCACAAAAGATTGTTACTGTACAATACATTTCAACCAAATGTATGGTAGCAGATCCTCTGACAAAGCCAATAGGCGAAAGAGTTTTTAAAGAACATGTACAAGCCCTTGGCATACGTAAAGTGTAATATGAGTGCTTCATTAATGAAATTATTTTTCGTTATCACTTTATGTGTCTGTCTGAAAGTATACAATGTTTAGTATGTCGTACAGGTCAAAAAGGTTGGCTCTCTCACACGGGCAACCGCCTTTGACACTCAGGTGGAGTGAACAAAGATGAGACATTTGTGTTCACCAGTAAAGCAGCAATGAATGCTAATATGGTAGAGAAGAAACACAAACTTTATGTCGCCTTGACTAAAGTGTAGCAAGTCAAGATGAGATCCACGTTGATAAAGTTGGATCGAAGTTTGGAATCCCACTTCCATAATACCTGTAGCCAGACAACAAACTCTTCAACGTCGACGTCATAACAATGAGCAGAGTTGAAGAATTTGGGTTTAGATACTGAGTGTGTCTGGACCTAAGTCTGTACGGTGTTAATAATAAATCTAAATCGACATACGCTCTTATAATAAAAGAGTGACACCGTAGCATGTGTTTCATACCACATGTGCTGAGAGAACCGCAAAAGGGAAGCAAGTGAAAGATCCCTGCTTCATTGCTGTGTGAGTCCCAGGGAGGAATTATCCTCCTATTGGTGTCCTTTGACTTTGACAATATCATGAAGATATGTTTCAGTGACTGCTACTTTGGCATATGTCCTATGGTCATGATTGATGCGATCTAAGGTAGTATGCTGAGAAAGCGACTGATTCATTTCAAAGTGATACTTGGGTGAAAGGAAGATTAACTGTGATATACACACCTATGCTAGTGTCTGTGACATGTCCCTTATGACATTTTGTGGTCGTAAGTGTGGATACTAGACATACGAGAAAGGTAATCTGAGTCAACCATTGACTCGAGAGGGATTAGATTTACCGTGAAAAAGTATATATAAGTAAATCTGGGACATCTGAGGCATAATTTTAAAGTTCAAGCTACACAAAGGAAAGGGTGACCAGTGCTGATCCTATAAAAGGGGTTTCTAGTACAGGGACCCAAGCGAAGACGTCATGCCCACGCGGTCACGGCAAAGCACTAAGTATGAAATTGAGGGAAGGTGAAGAGACTAGATCCGCGACATCTAATCCACCAAGTGTGAGTGGGAGATGTAAGAAAATGGGCCAGTCCACCCTTGGTGGATTGGACCCAAGCCCAGTATCATTTGGGGTCCTGGTGCAAATAACAAGACTTGTGGGTCTTAAAGTGCAATTTTTGCCCTTTAATATATTTTGCCAACAGCGGGAAAAGTTATGTCGAGGGAGGCAGTTTTCTTTTTGAAAATATGCATGGGATAAGTTAACCGTAGCATCAGTTATTGGCACGCACGTTCGGTTTTCATTTCTCCTCTCCTGCCTTTTCCAGTCTCCTCCCTCCCTCTCTGCAAAAGCTTTCCCTCCGGTGCATTTGCTGTGTCTCCCAGATCCGACTCCGTGACCGTGATCGGACCTCCGCGTGGCAACCTGACTTTACTGCAGACTCCAGGTATGCCCGAAAACCTACAACCGAGTTCCACCGCTTACACTACTCTATATGAGGATATTAGTCTACTAAAGTAATAAGTTACTCTGATGGCCCTAGTAGCTCCATTCCATATTCAACATATCAGACAAAAATTCATCTTCTTCCATGCAGCAACTGCCATTCGCCACTTTATTAAACCTGAGAAGAGAATCTTGGTAAGATACTTGCTTTCTATGGCTTTTGCTTTTTGTGTTACTTGTTTCTTCTTCACCCTGCATTAAAGTAGCTTCCATCTGTTTGTCTTAGCTATCTGGGTGTTCCTTCGTTATCAATCGACATGGGATTTCTCAGTCTCTAATGTAGTCTTCTTCTTCTTGCTTCCACATACCACTGCATCAGAAGGTCGGTCTAGAGGCATTTTTCGGTGAGAAAGATCCTCCATTGGCAAAGTTAGACAGGGGCAAAAGTTTCAAGAGAGAGCGAGGAAATTCCCTCAAATCTTGCAATGTTGATTTTCATTCAATGAAGAGCCGATTCTATAGGAAAACATAATCATCATCCCCACAATCTATTTGCAACTTACAATGTCACCGTGTTACATTTTGCAGCCATCTATAAACCCATGGCATTATGTAATTTTTTTCATATCTTATTTGAGGACTTTATCACATTTATTGGGTTTAAATACATTAATTATGATTAATTTGGATTAAATTTGATTGAATGAAAATATTGCCAAAAAGGGTAAAAATAACATATTTTTATGATTTATTTTAATTGATTAATTTTTAGAATATATGGTATTACATTATCTTGAATTTCATTGTAAGAAAGTTGCAATGAAAAGCTGAAAGTGAAAAAGACGATTAAAGAGCTAAAAAATTAAGGAGAAGGACCAGACAAATTCGTAAATTGCAAAAAGAGGACCCAAAGGAAACACCGTTTTGACGCCTGGGGCTCAATCTGATTTCCTTCCTCCTCCTTTGATTAACCAAGGAGAGAAAGGGAGAACACAGCAAGATGGCGGAATGCGACCTCCATCCCCTACCACCTTCATTAATCACGTCCTCAACCCTCCACTGTCATCGACTTTCATCTCCATATCCCCATAACTACCATTCTCCCTTCCGTGTTCGCAACCTTCGTTCTCCATTAGTATCATCTTCAAGCTCTTGGAGAAAGGATTGTTCACTAACATCACCATCGCATTTTCACTCTTCCATCGTTATCATCGACTCCATCTTCCCCCATCTGTACAATCAGAATCATAACATCAGTCCTCCATTCCCCTCATCTGAGTTTTTCCAGTCCGTCGCTTTCTTCCCTCTTCCAGTTCTTGGTTGCTACAATGGTGATTAAAGCGTTGAAGGAGCTCCGTGGAGCAATCAATTTCATCATGAGTAGTTGACTGTGAGATTTCCCAACTAAGGAGATTGATCATTATCTACTAGATTATCTCCTCCAATGGTACTTAATGCGGATTGTTAATTTTGTTGTGAAATCCTTTAGTTAAAAGGCTCATTAATAAGTTAATCAAAGTGGTTGTTTGCACTAATTGGTTGATTAGAAATTAAAACTCTACAGAGTTTTTGAAGTAAGGAAGGCGTAGACTGAGCTCAAAAGAAAAATTGATTTCATTTGTCAAGTTTCTCAAATTTTCAAATTCAATTTACCTTTCCACATATCTTTTCTATAAAAAAAATTACAAAAAACAAGTATTTAGAAACCTTTTCAATTATTTTACGAAGTAGTTTTTAAATCTAAAAAATCAACAAATAATTTTGATTTTAGTTAACCCTAGTCAATTTTGACTCCAATAAGAAAACGGCTTTAATTTGCAACTTTGCATCACTTTGTTGCATCCTAAATTTATTTTAATTTGACCCCAGGAAGACATGAGAATCAATACTTAGGAAACTTATACTTGACACGCATAAAATGTAATTAAAACACAAAATAACACGAATAAAGTTCCTTTGAATTGCAAATAAATAACCAAGATGGATTCTTGCTTCCTCCAACTAGAGCATCCTTTTGCAGGATCGAAATCCATAATATATGGATTTATTTGATGCGTCCTAAGTTTGCTTGGTTGATGCAAAGTTTTTGAACGTAAAATAGAAACCGCACCATTTGTCATCAGCAAACGCATTATCATATCCACTGGACAAGAGTTCAACTGTCAACCAAAGCATGAAGACTTTCAACTCATGTTGTTGCAATTGAGCTTCAAGAGCCATGACATTTATGGACAATAGCTGCACATTTACGACACCCCGCTGGTCTGATATGTCATCATTTTCTCTTTCCATTTCCCATCCACATCGTCTAGATGTTTCTCGTAGAAGCTGACTTCTCCATCTGATTTCACAAAGAAAGCAGAAGAGCTCCTAGTGCCATAACGTCCCTGGGCAAAAGCAAACTTTCAGCTTGAAACAAGCTAAAGCAGCCGTGAGCAGGTAGACATATAAATCGAGTTTTTTAGGTACCCATGGGAAATCTGCTTCAACAAAAATAGAGCTCAAAGGATACTCTTGATGTGGGGGATGAATCCCAGGCAGCAAGTTTTCCCCGTCTTTAATTTTGTTTGTCATTAGCTTCTCAACCATTTCTTTGATGGGAAATTCACTTTCCCCGTATTGATCAATGAGCTCTTTGAAACTCTGACGCAACCGTTCACCCTAAAATGAGAATGAAAAATCAGCTCACTGCATGGTGAGATGCTATATTGGCTCTAAAAGAAACGTATTTATCGATGAAGTTTTAGCTGACAATAACCGAAGGCTAAGTGCCAAATTGATCGAGTTCATTGCATTACCAATTGGCCATCGGCAACCATAAAGCGTATTCATTTTGTTCGGTCACAGCAGAGCCGCAAATGCAAATGCAATGATGCCAATGGAATTTTATGTCACAGACAGAAAGAAAACAAGCAGAAACAATAGGCATCTTTACCTTTGGCCAAGCAGCATCCAAACTTGCATTAGTCAGGACATGAATACCAGGTGTAACCATACTAACACTAAGATTGTCTTTTTTGGGTCTATTGCTGACATAAACCATGGTTCTGCTGCAAATATCAACTAATATGAGATTAAAGCCATTATATTGATCTGCCTCTTTCAGAATCTCTATGGCAAACTCCCAGGGGCTCTTGTTGCTCTGTAACCACATGAGGGATCGAATCATGATTAGAGTTGACATGCATTTACTGGTCTTTCCCGACATAAAGAGACTAATAACAGAAGCAGAGTATTTGCTAAACTCCAAGTTAAATTCCAAGCATCTGTAATTGTGGCATAATTTTAAGCACTCAATAGCTATGAATGCAGGTTAAACAGAGCATCATGATTAAAGAAAATGTGCCTATATGAAATCAAGAAATTGTCCAGCCCCGGTCTTAGTATACATGATAGATGATGAATGGGGGAAATCAGCTGGACAGAAGTATAAATCTTGTAGGAAAGCAGATACACAAGGAAATGCAGGGAAATCACCTCCAGAAAACAAAGTGGTAGTTCCCCCCTGCTTTTAGGATTTGGATGCTTCTCACGTTCCCTGAAATTAGTGATAAAAGCCACTCTGCCATCCCTTGTGGAAGCCAACCAAGTGCCACCAGCTTCCTCATCCCTGCCACCCAAGATTCTATTTCCCGGCCACCATGCCAAGGGCTGTGTAGGCCTTTTAAAACATGAAAAACAAACCAAACCCCAACCGGATTTAGCCCAAAAAAAGCATCAACTATAAATTTCACATAATTCACAAATATACAAAAATTGTCCAAGAAAGAGATAAAACAGACCGAGTATAAAATTCATCCCTGTTGAGTAGGAGGATGAAGGGATACAAGGAGTGAGATTGCCACATGAACACTGCTATGCACATTATATCACAAGAAATGTGTGCACGGACGTCTTAAGGAAATTTTGAAGATCTAAATCCAGGTTATGACTTCTACCTTATAGATTGACTTTCTGAAGGGATCAGATTGGAATGTACCATATAGAGTTCATTCTTTCACTATATTGTTGCGCAAAGAAATAAAAATTCCCTTGCCACTTGACAAGCCTTATTTACATAGGAACTTGATATATCACAATCTATTTCTTCCAAAATATCACTTTTGGGGCAAAAGATGAAGCCAGTGACGGCTAATGGGGTATGCCTGAGATCACAATATATTCCACACCTGCAAATTGACAAATTTCAAGAGAATTTATTCATTGATTTAAATTAATCAATTTAGTATGCAAAAAATTAATAAAAAAATACTCAAGATATCTTGCATGTCACGAAATACACAGTCTTCTCCAATTTACGGCCTCAATCAATTTAGCCTCTCCAATTCGACCCCGTGAACATAGATTTTTTTTTTTTTTTTGGAAACACCGTAAACATATAATCAGCACACCTTCATCTTCCATTAGTTTTTTCCTCATTTTTCTTTTTAAGCAACTACTAGAAAATTTACTCCTGGCTCCGGGGAACAGTATTTCTCCAGCTGTCAGTCAAAAATAAAAAGCCAATTTTTTGTTCTCCCTTTCCTTTTATACTCATCCTTCTCTCTCCATCACCATTTTCTCCCTCTTTCTTAGTGACTATCTTCTTCATTTCTCCATTGTTCATGAACAAAAAAATAAAATATTAGAACGGAAATCTGGAAGTAGTCAAAAGTGAAAGATGGCTTGAAGGCACTATACCTCCAAATACCTTAGGGAAGAGGCACTAGAGAGGCACACACCTGAAGAAATCAAGGCACTACAGAAAAGATGGTATAGAAGCCAAACAATAGATGAATGTAATTTGAAAAAAAAAGTTGACACAAATTCGCACAAAATAATGAACAAATGATAGATAAAAGCATATATTCAAGCAACATTGAGAGGAACAACGGCTAAGTACAAAAGCCTACCAATATATTGACACATCATAGCTCTTCTCTCCTTATCGAATTTATCAGTTATGTTTCCTGGTCAGAGCTTTCCTCTTTTCTTAATTAAACAACTTGTTCAAGCTTTTGCCTCACAGAAGAATGGTGGCTCCTTAGTTCTTTATTAATGGCATCTTCAACCTCCATAAGTCCACAAGGCCAAACTTTTTAATTAAAAATTAAAAGAGTATTTAATTCTTTCACCATCTTAGCACTTAACCACCATCAGAGCAAATGACAAAACATCTCTGTAGTAACAGAGCATAGAATAATGCGTTTAGACTAGAACATCAATTTCTAAAGCACAGATCATGAAACAATTTCAATATCTGCCTCCCGTTTCATAAAGGAAATAAAAGAACTAGAGGAGAGGGTGACAATATGATTTGCAACCCGACTAAATAGGATGGAGAAGAAAATGGTCTCTGAAATGTTTTCATCATAGAACTCATCCCCAACCAATGATATTGCAGATAACATGGATAAGAAATCACCCACCTTAAAATGTTGTCGCTGCTGTTGATGCTACCGTCTCCGTCAGCCCGCCTTTCCCTGAAGGAATTTTGAGCCACCTGTGAAGAGTCCAACTACGAGAGTGCCATCGGAAGAGAGTGATGCGCGATTTGGGATGAGGAGAGCGGGGGCGACTGACTTGAGAATGATGCGATGGAATCTGGATTTGGGATTGCACATTTCGTCACTGCTTTTCGATGGCTTATGAAGAAATAGTTTTTTTTTTTAATTAAAAAAATATTTTTGCTTCATGTTTACGTTGTTTTTAGGAAAGATGTGAAATGGCGAAATAACGAAGTAGGTTTCTAAATTAATATAATTGTTTGAAGAGACCGGGTCTTAAACTGTAAATATAAATTGATAGCTAAAATATCAAAAAGTCCTTCTGCATCTTATATCATCTTCTCATTTGCAGACCCAAAACCATCTTCTTCAATCCATCTTCAACCTAGCCAATTAAACTCATTCTCAACCTAGCCAAACCTCATCGTCTCTGTTATGTCTACCTTTGCTTCCCCTCCTTTCCTCTCTTAAAGAAGCTGCCGCTGAACGATGCATCACAACTACTTGCTTTGTATTGAACCTCCTCTCTCTACTCTTAAACCCCAACTTCGCTAAATTCTAGGGAGGTTTGAGACTGATATACAAATTATATTTTGTCTTGTAGATTCAAAGTGTTGTGAAGACCGCTAGTATGCATTAATATGAGTGGCCGAAAAATATTGATTGCTGAGCTGTTGGATTTTTGGAGAGGTTTGAAGAGAGTTAATTTATGCAGGAAGTGGTTGCTGTCAAAGAACCTCTGATTTTTTGTTATTTGGCTTACCATTGTTGTAATTTCACTTAGTAGTGTTGTAACTACAAACTTGTTACTATAATGATAGCAACATGACATGAAAATATCAAAATGTTGGTCTTTTATTTATGGGTAAAACAATGTTAAAATTTTGTATTTATCAGTTCTAAATTGGAACAATATAGATCTATTTAATGTTCTAAAATTAATGACAAACTCAATCACGTAATTGTAATTTGGCTCACCAAACTTGTTATTTGGCTTATCACTCTTATCATTTGGCATTCTTGTTATTTGGCAATGAAATGGGAAAATAATGACAAGTTTTTATAAAACTTAATTTCATGAGAAACTCAATAATAGAATTGTTATTTCACTTACGATTCTCAGCAATTGGCTTACTACTCTTGTCATTTGGCAGTAAAATATGGAAATAATAACAAATTTTCATGAGAAACCCAATGACATATTTGTTATTTCATTTACTGCTCTTGTCATTTGGCTGTAAAATATAAAAATAATGACAATTTTTCATGAAATTTAATTCCATCATAAACCCAATCACATGCTTGTAATTTCACTTACCAAATTTGTTATTTGGCCTAACACTCTTGTCATTTAATTCATCACTCTTGTCATTTGGCAATAAAATATGAGAATAATGGTAACTTTTCATGAAACTTAATTTCATGAGAAACCCAATAACAGAATTGTTATTTCGTTTACTACTCTTATCATTTGGCTTACCGCTCTTATCATTTGATGGTGAAATATGAAAATAATGATAACTTTTCATGAAACTTAATTTCATCATAAGCCCAGTCACATGCTTGTAATTTAGCTTACCAAATTTGTTATTTAGCTTACAATTCTTATCATTTGGCTTATCACTCTTGTTATTTGGTAGTGAAATGTGAGAATAATAACAACTTTTCATTGAACTTAATTTCATGGGAAACCCAATCACAAAATTGTTATTTCACTTACTGCTCTTGTTATTTGGCTTACTACTCTTGTCATTTGACAGTGAAATGTGAAAATAATAGTAACTTTTTATTAAACTTAATTTCATCAAAAATCTAGTCACAGGAGTGTTATTTCGCTTACCACACTTGTTATTTGACTTAACACTCTTGTCATTAGCTATATAATGTGAAAATAATGACAACTTGTCATAAAACTCAATTCCATTGGAAACCCAATGACACACTTGTTATTTCGCTTAACACACTTATCATCTGGCTATATAATATGGAAATAATGGTAACTTCTCATAAATTGGATAAATATCATGCCAGTTATACATAATTGTCATTAACAATTAACAACTTAGCCCAGTGAGCAACTAGATATGGTAATAAGCTCCTGTCGAAATAATTGTGCTGGATAATTATTAATACAAAGTCAAATACATTAAACCTAAGTTAAATGCCCTAACATTATCTACAATTTATCCCATTTCGTTATCTACTGAGCCAGTCTTCTTTTTTGGCCTTTCCTCCATTGCCTGGCTGTGGAAGAAACTTCAAAGCATTATCACACCATTCATTGAGCTCATGATTGGCCAACCACTACATAAGATCACAGCGAAAAATTGACACTTCAGTCTGGACAACAAGTTTAACACTCAGCTCTACAAATAACAAATGAAGGATAACAAATCAAAACCCTACAAATAACAATTATTCTAGGTAACAAGACTGAATATATAAATAACAAGTTTACTCTTGGAAATAACAAGTTATAAAGATAACAAGTTAACTACTCAAAATAATAAATAATAAGTTTTGAAAATAACAAGTTAACTATTCTAAATAACAAGTTTTGAAAATAACAAGTTAAGTACAATATTAGAAATTACAATTTACATATTCAAAATAACAACTTTGCACTTGAAAATAATAAGCTCCAAATAATAAGTTAACTGCTGGAAAGAATATGTTAAGTTTTACAAATAACAGCTCAAGCCAAAGAAATTTGAATTCCACTACTGGTATTCAGGAAAACTTCAAAAACTACACTAAAGAGATTGGGAATCGAACGAAATTATGCCAAGAAAGTCATTAGCTCCATTTGCACGATTATCACAACAACCCCGACATTTAAATGAAAATAGGTAGACAAATGAAGCATAGACTAGACCCAACTTATAAGTCATTAATCTTAGTTTAACGTCCACAAGCAAGTTCTCACGCATTATTCAGCTTTAATCTCAACAACATATCATATCAACAATAATTCAGCAAAGCCCAATTTTAACTTTGTGTTCATAGGCTTTAAAACAACTAATTCAAACATAGCAATATCTCTTCAATCTCTACTCCAAGACTTCCAGCTTTATAATTAACATTTAATCTAACTTTGCAACATTTTCACATAACTTTCAACACTCTTTAACAGATGCTAATTATACAGAAACAACAATAGTATCTCTAGCTATATTTCCAGCTTTCACAATACACACGCATATTTATATTATACCAGATTCATAATCACCAATCTAACTATCATTTATCACTTCCAAATATGTTTGCAATGATTTAAAGAGTACCTCAACACTGTAACAATTTCATATTCAACATGAGATTAAGTATTTTCTTTTCCTTTCCTTTATAATCAAGAAATTCCACCAGGCTTTTCACTTCATTCAGTTCACTTCAAACAATCACAAGGCATTCAAAATAATATCCATAAGCCACATTACCATAGTTTTAGCTTTTTAATGTTATGACCCAGAACTTGCTTCCCTGGTTCAGCATTTACAGAACACACATATATATTTATATTATCCTTCCTTTTCACAGATCAGATGCAGGAATCAGATTTCAAATACACAACTATAATCTTCTAAACAGTAACAGCCCGCATGTATGCATAGTTTAAATTTTAGCATTTAAACATCCTTCTGGTGTGCATCTTTTTACTGATGCTTCACCTGACCAAAGAGAGAACATGGGATACAAAAGTTCACCCTAGAGCAGAGCACATTAATCTAATCACAGGCACATAAAGAAGCGGCAAGCATCAAGTTCAAAGGCCACAAAATAGGAAGAATTAATGGTAATTGAAAGGACAGACGCTCAAAAGAATAAACCAAGGAAAAAATTTAAGATAAGGACGACAATCTAAATAAGAGAAATAATCAACAAAAAATAGAAGATGAGCAGGAGAACGAAAACCCAGGAGAAAAGGAATAGCTCATAAATTAAAAGTAAATATCCTTTCCAATTCCTTCTTCTGAAGCTCCTCGCGATAGGCATCAATGGGGTTCATGAACTTGCCGCCCTTTGTCGTCTTCATTTTGAAGAGAGATTATTGAACCTCTCAGAACGCTCTGATTACCATTTTTTCTTGTTTTTATACTTTTTTTGGATTAATTAATTTAAGTCCTTATAGTTTTAACGAATTTTATACTTCCTAATTACTCCTCTTATTCTTAATATAAGACCTATTTAACTAATTTGATTAGATTAAAAAAGTTAGGTAAGTTAGTTAATTATAAAAAAAAATGACACATTTTTCCTAAAATACCATAATCATCTTTTTTAATACCCCATCTTCCTCTTCTATTTAATTATGATTGAGGGAGTATTCACAGGAATAATTTAGAGAAAGTTGATAAATACGAAAAATAGGTTTTATATTTAAAACTAAAACCAACTAAAAATTGGGTCCTATATTAAAAATCGAAAGAGTAGTTTTTAATTATTTACTTTTAATATTTTATTAAGTGAAAATATTTTTTTGACTTAAAAACTGGATACTGTTACAGCAAGAAATACTTACATACTCTGAGAGTACCAGATCATCTGTATTCTCTCCAATCAAAATGTAACAGCTCACCTCATTTTTATCCTAACTATCAACTTACATGTTTTACTTAATTTATACTATTTTATTTTTGAAAAATAGTGCTTTTAAAGTGAAAAACCAATTTGAATAAATTATTTTACTTAACAATTCATTAATCAAGTCTCTCCTCCATCTTCATCTTCTTCGACAAAACTGAAAACCCTCATGTTTTCTGCTATGAAGCTCCGCCGCTAACCACCCTTTTTCTCCCTCTACTATTTGTTGATGGAGCCTCGCCGCTAAACGTAGTCGCTTTTAGTTAGTTAGCGAACTGGTCGTTGGCCCTGCCTTCAATCTCAATCGTACCTATAAAGAAAATCAATTTCTTCGATCTCAGACTTCATGCTTTCTATGTTGTTCAGTCAACTCCGGCGTCTTTAGCTTCTTCGTTCCCCCTCTTTATACCTCCAACCTCATCGTTAGTTTCATTGTAGTTAGCTCTCTCCAAAGGTTAGGGTTGGTGCTCTTGCCTTTAACATTTCTCCCTGAGATGAAAATCAGATTGCTTTTATCACCAGAGACAGGATAGCAAAAGTGATGGTTGCCCTTATTGTGCTTCTTGCCACCCCATTTCAAGAGAGGGAGAGAGAAGTTATGGAGAGGCTAAGACTTCACAGGTGCAGCGGCCACACGAAATCCCCTATTAGCGGCGAAGTTTCTTACGAAAGAAGGACAAGATTCCCTAGAATGGGGAATAAACTAATTAAAATAATTTATGCAAATTGGACTTTACTTTAGAAACATTATTATTTCAAAAATAAAGCAATATAAAACAAGCAAATAACGCTTATAAAAAAAACAAGCAAATAACATAAAAGCTGACAGCTATGATAAAAATTAGGTGAGCTGTTATATTTTGATTAGAGAGAGTATAGATGATCCGGTACTTTTAGAGTATGTAAGTATTTCTCCTGTTATAGTACTCTATAGAGTAGTGAAAATAATTTTTAATAATTTTTATAATATTTTTAATTTTTAATATTATTTTTTATTTTATATTTACATAAATTATGCGGAGTATATCATCCAATTAATTATATAATATTATTTGATTTAAAAATATTTATATTACTATAATTTCTAATTTAAATATATTTTATTAATTAAATATAACTTTTTCCTCTTATAATAATTTAAAATTATTATATTTTGTAAATTTATAATTTAATCATTGTTTATTATTTAATAAAAGTCATATTTATTTTGGTTATACTACAAATTAAACTTATTTATTCAATCATAATCTAAACAATTTTTTTCTTTGCAAACTCACTTTTATAAAAGTCAATCGAAATACAAATTATATTACCCAATATGACTTTTTAAAATTCAAATTAAAAATAAGTTATTTTTTTTTACCGTTAATCCAAAGGCATCCAATAAGATTTTACTGCAATTGCAACAATCGCTTCATGATTTTATTTTAGATATTTATTTTTTACATCTGCTTTTTGTCCTTTTAATTATATAAATGTATTATGTATTTCGTTCTGTTTAATTTTTTTAGTTTCTAAAATGATAATTAATACGGTAAAAATATTATTTTTGATATTATCCCAATCTTATTTGATTTTGAATTTTCAAATCATTTTTATTAAAATAAAATTTAAAAGAAATAAAAGAAATTTGACTAAAAATCAAAAGAGAACTTCCTTTTGAAATTATTAGGATTTAATTTTATTATCTTTTCCGGATTATGTTATCCTTCTTTATGTATGCAAACAAATATTTATTTTTTCATTCAACATATCAAAGTTTGCATCATAAAAAGTAATAGACATATAATATTGTATATGCTTAAATTCATATCCTTTTTAATAATTACATATTTAAATATATTTTTCGTTTATTTCCTTTAAATAATTTTTAGTTTAGTTTATTAAATCGAATTTTTAGAAATATATCAAACATAACTTTTGTTAAAATAATTAAGATTTACCAATTATTGATAAATAGATTTTGACAATCGAAGTTTTAACAAACTCAAAATGAGATAAAAATGGGAATCAAAATGCATTTTTTTTAAGTTTTCACTCCATTCTAAATTCATCACTCTCTTATTACCTCAAACTTATCCAATGCCAACTCTCGAACAAAAGAAAGAAAGAAAAATTAAAAGAAAAAAATCTGCATATCCATGTGTCTTGCTCATTACAAATGACACCGCTACATCCACTTCGACCATTATCAAGTACAAAACCATCTGCTTCCAACCTAGTAAATCCTACATCAACATTATGCAATACCTACTCTTTCCGGTGATTGATGCAGTAGAAGGCGCATGTTCTTGTCAAGTCTTGATCCCAACAAGCTCTAAAGAAGCTGGAAATTGCATCAAGATGATCATTGTGACCACCTTCACCAAAGAGTTTCTTGCAATGAGATACCCAGATGTCCCAACAAATGTATCCAAAATTCATTGATTTAATTAGTATTTGAGTTATTCTCTATACCTCAATGTGAAATAGAATCCAATTGTGGATAAGGAGAGTTATTACTTGTAATCTGCAATTACTTGAAGAGTTACTCAACACCTTACAAGTAGTAGGGGGAGTTCAGGTTGCAAGGTACCTAACTAATCTTGGAGTTATAATTCTCAAATACCTAATGAAACTTAAAGGGATCATAATAATTTCATAAGTTGTCCGATCAAACTTATAAGATTATAGTAATTCTTAAATACTCCCAATTTTAAGTGGATTGAAAATCTCAAAAGTACTTAGGGACTGAATGTAAGTTAGTAGATGACTCAATCATAATAAATTGTTGTGTGCCTATATATCTAAGTGTTCTTATTCTCATCTACTCTTTAATTGTGGGATACATTCATTTATTCGTTTTAACTTTCATTTTTTAAGTCACCAAATTCACCAGTCTCTATGGTATAATCTACTACTAATATTTGGTATTAGATTAGCTCCTTTGTCTAAAGGATTTTAACAGTTTTGAGAGTGATCATAAAAATAAAGAACTAACAGGCTTCAATGGTGAGAACTGAACTTCACTTGGAAAATAAAGATAAAAAATTTCTCAAATCCACTAACTTGGTATGTGCGAAGTAATAAAAAAATGGAAACTATGCACTAGTGAAGACTGTTGACAATCTCAGTGTTCCACAGTTTCTAGAAAAATACGACGATAATGATAAGAGATTGATATAGTTGAATCATACTTATGATGCAATCGTCGTAGGCGCCGGGGGTGTAGGGTTGAGAGCTGCTATTGGATTCTCAGAACACGGGTTCAATATTGTGCATTACTAAATTTTTCCCAACTCGTTCACATGCTGTTGTTGCTCAAGTACGATACATTCAAATCTCCAGCTATATATAGTTTCGTTATCACACCATTATTCGTTTTATATGCATTAGTACAGGGACTACACATCATTGGTGATATAGCAACGGTTGTTTAGTTCCATATTTGTTGCTTGAATTCATTCATCCTTTATTCTTTATGTTAATGTCCAGCCTTTCTATGGGCTCTCCCATGACGTAAGTATTCTATGCGTGTTGCGGTTATTTCGTTATGTTCTAGACATAGCCAAATTGAATCCGCGCGCATGTGCACGCCTACATTATGGACTCTTTTTTGGCAATTATTTTTTTAAGTTGTTTTTTTTTTTTGGTTTGGGTTTATATTATTTTTGAGTGTTGGGTTTATACAATTACGATTAAACCACCAGTACTTGTGCGGTGTTGAATCTTGAAAGTCGAAGGTTGCAACTCTTAGATTGAGTGCTAGAATCTCTAATCTTATGTATTCTGACCCTTCTAGCATTAAAATGGAATATGCATGTTTGCCCTATCACTTGCTTTAGATATGATAGGGAATACTCTTATTTAATGAAACTGAATATAATAGAGATCAAAACTAAACTAAAGGCCAAGACAAGGTACTATCTAATAAATTGGAATATTATTGTTGAGTATAAAGAACACTAGATGAAAAGCATTAGACAAATGAGGCTTGGACAGAAATTTGTGGAGCTGACGGAACGACTTTAGACCCATGACAGGGAAAACATTTTTTCGGCCATCATCCACGAAAAATGTATTAAATCTCAAAAGAAATAATAGCCGCACATGCTCGTTGGCCCCAAAAAAAGCGCCGTACATGCGTGGGCGTTGACAATATACAGCCGGTCGCGAAGCACAAGTTGCATTATTCTCATGCCTTGGTGACTAAAGATTAACAGAGCTGGACGAAATACCAACGTTGCCAACCTCATTGATCTCAACGCAGTACACTTTCAAGTATCAGAAGTGCCACTCTGTCCTGATTATCATTGCAGCAATCATCTAAAAATTCTCATTTCACTAGCACCTTTCTAGCCACTATGCATACATAAAGCTGACCACTTTTTTAGTACCAAGAGTATCCCCCACTGAAGCTGATAATTAAGGACTAATCCCTTTGAAATCATAGAGATCACTTATCCCTTTTAAATCAGAGAGATCACATAAATGCCCTTGCTTCTAACAAAATCATTTTTATACAGGTGGCTAGGAATCAAATAACTCAAGACTTGAAGAAACGGAAAAGTGAAAGGCATGTCAAATGCGATAAATGAACCAGGAAAATTAATGTTTCTGCAGAAACAGCACGTTTCAACCCACAAAAACGGAAAAAGAAACATAAAAGAAAATGACTATTGAGAGCAAACATTCAAACAAAACCGTAGATTAATGTAAAAAAGGGAACCGTAAAAAATATCAGTAATCAGGGGCCCCAGGTCAGTTATTCTTGGCAGCGTCAGCCTGCTTGGCTCCCACAGAGAAGAACTCAATGATGACTTCTAGCGGCATGCCCTTAGTTTCTGGAACTTTCATAAAGACAAATGCCCAAGCTATGAGGCAAACGACTGCATAAATACCAAAAACACCAGCAAGGCCAACAGAATTGAGCATAACTGGCAGCGAGTACGTGACAATGATATCACCAATCCAAAATGTAAGTGCACAGATGGCAATGCAGAGACCACGGACCCGAGTGGGGAAGATCTCTGCACAAAGGATATTAGGAATTGGCCCAAATCCCATGACAAAGCAACAGAAGTAGACAACAACGCTGATGGTTGAGATTGATGCATTCACAGTACTGCCCAAATTCACGAGACTCCCTGTGACTAATATGAGAAGAGAGACTATCAAGATAGGAAGTGTACTGAGCAGCAAAGCCCTGCAGCAAGCGAGCACCCGATCAAGACTATCACGAAATAACCAGCAACAAAATGAATGAAAACAACAGACAGAAAAATGATTATGATTCACATTGGGAAACCAAAACTCGCCATAAAGAGAAATAACTACTCTATAAAATGAAAGTTCTCCGATAGGAGTATTTTCATGAGAAAACACCTTTTGACCCATTTTTAACATAGCATGGTAAGAAAGAGATTGATACCTCCTGCCAGAGATATCCATGAGCCGCATAGCAACTGCTATACAAGGAAGCATCAACAAGGTTGTGACAGCACTAATAAGAAAAGATGCAGAAGTCGAGCTAAGGCCCAGGTTCGATAGAAGAAAGCCAACACCCGCCTGCTCAAGAATTTGAGGTGTATAGTAGAGAACCCCATTTATGCCAGAGAACTGCAATTTTCAGAGGAATCAAACGACAGTCACACATAACTTTCCACCAGTCATAAGGTCAGGAACCGCAATAATTTTTTAATATTCTTGTCATCTTAAGCAAGCAAAATTTAAAATATTTCTAAATAAACAAGAGACACAGTTCCCATTATTTCTAAATAAACAAGAGACACAGTTCCCATTATTTCTAAATAAACAAGAGACACAGTTCCCATTCACTTCTAAATGAAATCTGATTAACATACAATGTTCTTTAATCAACCACAAACAAGCAAACATGGCTCTCTAGAAACACTGCTTTTTTGGTACTAGTTTCCAAAGAAAAGATCTCCAAACTTGCTTCATACATATTCATACTTCTACCAACAACTTAACCCAAAAACTAAGTTCTCACAACTTGTGAAAGTTCATGTCCAGATTCAATAAACAAAAGTTCTATGTAATCTCAAATTTGTTATTTCTAACGTTTGAGAGACCAAATTTTATTTTCTTGTGTTTTCAATCAGTGCCCATTGACCAACCTAATGCTTCCGGTGGACTTTTCCATCACTTCCACACTGCAAAACTCGAAAACTCAAGGTCAAGTTTTCTCCAACTAAAGGAACTTGACGAAGAATGAGAAGACAAAATCAAGAGTGATATGATTGGTAGTATTATGGGTAATTACTTATAAATCAAGGATTAAACCATAATTTCAGGCTTAAATTAGCAATGCATACTGCTACCTTTTTTAACCATGTGTTTCTAGTCTCCTTCACAGAACCTTAGTTGTAGACTTTTCATTCAGCTAAGCAAAGCAATAAAATTCCAAAAAAAAAAAAAAAAAAAGCAAAGCAATAAAATATTAAAACACTGTTTCTCTTCTCTTATTATCACTCCCTTTGTTTCTCCCAAGGTATTAAAAACTGGACTAGTCATTGAATCAGTCAAGACATTGATTCAAAGGTTAGGCTAGATTGTGGTTGAACCGACCGTAATTAAATTAATATATTTAAATTATACATATTAAAAAGGAAATAATAATAATTAAAAATATTCATACATTATAACTTATATAATATTCATCCAAATATACATACTAGGAAATGATTTCATTTTAATATTCTAGATAAAAATGGATAACATAAAAATAAATGAAATAAATTTGAAATGAGTCAACAACAATAAATTTAAAGAATTATAATATTAAAAAATTAAGTAAATAAAAATAAATTTTAAAAGATATAAAAAGGCATTTAAAAATTATAATAAAATAATTAAGAAATACTAATTTATGAATCTAGCAGAAATTCAAAGTTTGAAATTTCTGCACAACATTTATCTTAAAAATATCAAGTTCTATTGAAAAGTGTGTTAAGAAAGGGGGTGTCTACATATCATATGCTACTCTAATGCATAGATTACCGAGGCTATCCATTTTTTTCCCCTTTCTTTCTGACATTTTGACTTTTCCAAGCTTCATTTCTTTGTTTCATCTTCACTTTCCCATCTGCTATGTTCCTTCTTCGTCTTAGTAGTGACCGACTGTAAAAGTGTATCTCCAACAATAAAAGTGATTGTAAGTCTACCCTTCTCAATCTTCCGTTCAGTCTCCAGTTGGTACTCTAATTTTTTTCTCTTCTTTCTTTTCATTTCATTCTTATTCTTTTTTCAGTTTTCTTCTTCTACTCTAGCATGCTTCTTTCATCTTCATCTTCAATCTAGGTTAGCGTTCATCATGGCTTTCTATCTCTTTTCTTCCGTTACTTTTTTAATCTTCTTCAACCAAATCAGTGGAACGAGTCAACCTGCCAGGTTGACCGGTCTTTTCCTATTTAATGCCAGGTTAAACGGTTCAGTGAGGACTGGGCTAAATCAAGATTCTGGGCCAGTCACATGCTCAGTTCACTAATTTACTGGCCCGACCAGCTTAAATGAGTCAAATATGAATAGAGGGCATAGCACCAATCCATATTTATGCTACATCTAGAATTACACAAGTGTAATGAAATTAGAGGATACAAATAATTCTGTACCTTGCCTATTCAATGTTTTCAAGAAAGTGAACAAGCCTTTACCAAGCACCAACAATAACCAAGTGAATAAATTGCCACATAATGCTTCATCATACAGCAGGAAAAAGAAAAGTCAACTGAGCAAACATGTTAATAAAAACACAAACAGCAGACATAGGGAAGCACAAACCTGCTGGAGAATTTGAATCCCCACCCCCACAATCAATGCATGCTTTACCCCAGGTTCAAAAAGATCACTCCAACTTGGTCCTTTTGCAGCTGTTTCAGACGGGTGAACCATAGCTGGTCCAACTGGTTGCTGATTCAAAAGCTCCTTCTTATAAAGGGTTGGCTGACTCACCAAAGCAGCAGCTTGAATAACTTCACCATCTGCTGGAAGATCACCACCAGGAAGTGAAACCAAGGACCCACGCCTAGATCCAGGACCACCCTCTTGGTGCAAGTATATTCTCTTGAAACCACCTTCCCTCTGTCCATCTGTGCCTTCTCTTTCAGACCATTTCCATGCTAGTTGCCAACCACCACCAATCCCCATGCTTCCAGCAGGTTCCCCAGCATTTCCTTGCAAAAGACTACCTTGCCTCATGCTTGAAAGAATGCCATGAGCAGGTGGAGGCATGTCCTTATCCAGACTGGTTGTTTGACGTGAGATCAATGGACTCTGCAAATTGTCATCAGAATCACCACCACCAGTATCAGATGCATAATCCTCACCTTCTCTGGCAAGGCTTTCTTCTTCCCAATCTTCATTCCTTGGTTGATTCCCCCCAACGCTAAACATACTGCCAAAGTGTGGAAAAAGGGTGCTGCGCATGCTTCCTGTTTCTGGAAGTTTCTCATGGATACTACCAAAAAGGGTCACTAGAGGATCTACAAGACCACTCTGATTTGCCATGCTTCCCTGTCGAGATACAAGACTAGCAGCATTTCCAGCGACAGGTTTGGCGACCCACGAGAGGCCCTGTTCAGGCCCATACAGCTTAATCTGGTCTTTACCAGCAGATGGATCCTCTTCATCGGTGAGTTCATTAGCTGGACCAATCATGTACTCTTCTATAGCTGTATCACCTCCAACTCCAAGACCCTCGACCAACAAAGCCATCTCACCTGCTCATGTCCAGGAAATACAACTATCATCAGAAATCATGCATAATTATATATAAATCGATCATCCTATTGAATCAAAAGCATGCAAACGATATGCTTGGGGTCACATAAAAGAAAAAAATTAACAAATGATCAAATCAAAAATCAAATAAACGAACAACCCTTCAGAGTGAATAAAAAAGTGACAGCTAGCAGTTAGACTATTAGAGTATGCTAAGTCCTGCATCCAATCGTTAGAAGACAAATCAAAGGTATATAAGTTTGGGGAGAGCCCATCCAAGTAGCTTAAGCCATTTTAGTATAGAGTATAAGCCTCAAGTATAATTAATATAGAAAGCTCAACATGGTATCAAGAGCCAAGTTATCTAGGAGTAGGAAAGAAAAAAAAGTGAAAAAAAGGAAAAAAAGAGAAAACAAAAAAGAAATTGAGAGAAGGAAAAAAATGAAGTTGTGACCCAAGGGTCTTTAAGACTCAAAAAAGAAGTATAAACCCGGGTGAATGGAAAAAATAAAAGATAAATTAAGATTTAATATGAGAAAGAGAGAAGAGAGACAAAAGTGGAGATTTTTTTTGGGGGGGGGGTAAACAGGTCAAGAAGAAGAAGTAGGAGAAATGTTAGCGTATGCTTCGGTCTTACATCTAGTATCTACTACTCCCTCTGGCTCTTATTATAAGCTTCAAATAATCAACAAAAAATCAGTTAAAAGCAATAAATAAGGAAGAAATATACTTTTGTTTCCAAATATGCCCTTATAATAAATGAGAAAAAATGAAAGAGATTGTATGGGAAAATGTAATAGGAGAGAGAACGAACGAGAGAGAATCAATATTTAAGGGCAAAATTGAAAAAACGCATTAAATATTGAGACAAACCCAAATTGAAACTCATAAAATGGACTATACTTCTCTCCAAATTTAAAGTTTACAAATAGAACTAGAGGGAGTAATGAGAAGATAAATCGAAGGTAATATAACTTGACATGAGTCCATCACTTAAACAATTTTGTAATAAAGGACAGGCCTCAAGTATAATTAATGTAAAAGCTTTAACATAAACTAGTATTAGGAAAATTTTCCAAGCTATATGAACTTTCAACAAGACAATGGTTCAGTGTCTTTCAAGTAATTCATCATATCTCATTTTCTGTTTTATCAAGTCCTGAGCACCACAAAATAGCTGAGAATAAATGTTGCCAAATAGGATGGACTAGTCACACAGAATATAAATATTTAGCCATCCTAAATCATAATATTGATAAACTAATAAATGACCAGCTGCATAACCAGCATCAGCTGAGCTGGATCCAGCACTGAAGTGATCTTTCTTTATAACAATCCTACAAGACACCATTTTCTTTCTCAAAGTGTTTGTAAGCCTAAATTCATCAAGTTAAGATCTTAAGAGAATATTTAAACGTCAAGAAGCAGGAAAGAAACGGTCTACAATCCAAGAAGAAAAGCCTATTTAATTTAGTGAAGCGAAAAAACTAACCAGCAACATCTTCCCTGCCACGGAGTCGCTGTAGAACCTTCTTGGCCTCCAGCATCCGTCCTTTACTCACAAGCCATCTTGGAGACTCGGGCAAGAAGAACACAGATAGTACAAAATAGACAAGGGAGGGAATCGACAGAACACCCAACATAAGCCTCCAGCTAGGGTTATTCATTAGTGACATCCCAAACACCATACAGTAGGAGAAAAACATTCCAGCAGAACCAGTGAACTGTGGAAGAGTATTCAGTAATCCCCTAATCTCAGGTGGAGCTGTCTCAGATATGTACAGAGGTACCAAGGTAACAGCCAAACCAACTCCAAATCCATCTAAAAGCCTTGCTAAGAGGAGGATATAAACATTTGGAGACCACAACATCACAAGAGAACTAACAAAATAAAGGACAGCTGAAATAATCAACATAGGACGTCGGCCCAGTGAATCAGATAGGGCTCCTGAGAATGTTGTAACCAGGGTCGCTCCAATAAGCGACATGGCCACAATTAGACCTTCAACTGTGGGTTCACTTTCTAATTTCATCTCTCTCTTTATGTACAAAATAGATCCTACATAAACATTAAAATATGAGATCATTAATCAGATCGCAGGTAAGGAAGAAAACAAATTTAAAGAACAAAACGAAAAACTTAACTAGGGGAGAAACCAATGCAAAATTAAGAATCAATCGTTGATCAATCTAAAGGATTAATTGTGAATTATATGAGTTGAAAGATAAGCGTAATGGAGAATGACCTGCAATGGTCGCATTATCCCATCCTTGCAGTAAATTACCGATAGCAGCAGCAACAGCGACAAGTACAGCACCGCTCATCCCTTCACTTGAACTTTTAATCAGAGAAGAAGATCAATAATGGATCCGCAAGAAGAAGACCTTCCCCCTCAACCAACCTGCTATGACAGGGATAGAACTGAGGATTGAAAAGAGAGAAATAAGAATAAAATCGAAGGAATTCAAATTACAAGTCTACAAAATTACTCTGTAAGTGCCATACTGACATGACGAATCAAGTGGAGACAAAATAACTGCTGAACACCTATAACTAATAACCAAACTAGGTGATTACTAAATTTCAACACTCATAACACAGATTTAATGATTATGCGATCTCCCAGATTTAAAGCACATCAGAAAGAAAGTGAACCCTGTATTTTAAACCGATACTGAATCAAAGGTGACAATGATATTACCTTCTCGAGAAAGAGTCACAATAATTGTCTTGAGTATACTCGGCACATTGAAAAGATTGGGTCCCCAAGAAGAACAGCCAAAATTCACAGAAACAAATCGCGAAGGAAGGAGCGATCCTATTCGCCAGGTTGAAAAGTAAATCATGAACTAATACTTTTATAATTATTATAATAAATAAAATATAATTATCATTTTTTTGATAAGCATGATATAATTATCATAATTATGTCATAATTTATGATAATGATAATTTGTTGGTTAATTTCAATTACATATATATCATTGAAGAGTTAGTACTATATATAAGATATATTTCACAACTTTATCAATTTTTTTTTCTAAATTAACCCTCTTGAGTAAAATGTTTAGGATATTTTAAAAAAAACATATCATATTAACTAATTTAACTAACATCCTCAATCTATCTAAATTAGTTAATTATATTTTAAATTAAGGACTAGTAGTAATAGAAAATAAAAACATATATTATATAATTATCTTTTATTTTCCTAACATATTACAATTATCAAATTATAATAATTATCATTATTATTATATATTTCAATATAGACTCAATTCGACATAGACCCGTCCTCCTCTCAATTCTCACATCTTTCGTTGGTCGGAATCTGGTTATCCTCCAGATCAGTATTTATATTCTGATATTTTGTGTTGCGATCAACAAGAATATAATCTTATGAGTAATGAATAACAATTTTTTTTACTTTGCGCTTTTTTTCCTCAGCCCACATCCAAAATGATTGATTTGATTTAAATTTAGGAATATTATAGTTTTTTCCTTTTTCTTTGGTTATTAAAATTTCTTTAATCATAAACATTTTTCATGACTAGCTATAGGGCGCACATAAAAGCTCAATTCCTCTTCCATTTCCACTTTCTTTGTTTCTTTATATAATTAGGCTACAAACGAAATCTTATAAGTAAGATCAGAGGTAGTAATAAAACAAACTAAGCTTGAAGTTTACAAAAAATAGTTATCCACCAACTACACAAAATCAAATAGGCAATCCGGGTGTGGTTTCCATCCCTATCTCAAAAAATCATATACACAATTTAGGGATATCCTACAGGACTAAGTAATCTTGCTCCGCATGTCTGCACACTTCCATTTTTACTTTCAGTTTTAATTCTACTTCTACTTCCATAAAAACTCTTCCATGCATAAGGGAAAGGAGCCCATGTGAAGTAACTAACGGATGAGGGAAAGACTTCATTGTAGATACTAAGCAGTAAAGGAAACTGAGAGAAACAAAGGTTGCTACTAATATTTATTCACTCCTTTCCCCATCAATTTTAACATTTTTGTTTCACAATGGTTTGTTTCCATAAGGGTGTTTAGTTTCCAAAAAAGTATTTTTATAAAAAAATTTTATGCAAGTCAAAATAAAACTCTTTTTATATTTTTATTTCATATATCGTAATTTCTACTCAAATACCTCATTCAAAATGACCAAAATCAAAGAAAGGAGGTAGATATTAGATTTTTTTTTTCTTTTATTATTATTTTTTACAACTTATTTTTTCTTTTAGTTTGTTTATGTGATTCCAATCTCCGTGTTTGCTTCTTTTCTTTCAGACCCGGCCAATTCTCTTTAAACCGCCTCATTTCTGGTTGCTTGCTGGTTTCCTGCCGAAATCTTAACTTGAAAGGCTCAATTTGGTTAAACCCTTGAAGTGATCCAACAATGCGAAATAGCTCGTTATTGTGGCCGATCGACGATCAGACCATTCCAACACTCTGGTTCGGTTCGTCTCAACAACACGACAAGAGATTCCTTGAGGAACTGAAGATGCAAACAACTTAACCAATTGTAACAAAAACGTACGCACGTTGAAATCGATTGGCGCTTCGTCGAAAAAAAACAAAGGGAATCATTGGAGCAATTCATAAAATTAAATATCAACAAATAATTGATCCTTGCAAATGTTGCAGAAAGTCAAAACTCTTCTTTCAAAAGCTCCTTCTTTCACATTCATATAAATGATAAAACAAGATCATGCATTTTCGCTCACCCAATCTACTTATGTGATTACATTCACCTTTAAGCATGCGGTTTCAGCCCCTCCAGTATCGGCGCTTCTAAATTGCTCTCCAGTTCTTGTCTGGCCCTCCTGGGAAAGTAAGCCATCGTTAGAAATGCATGAGGTCTGGTGTCCTAAATCCAAATTAAGCGTAACGAGTGTGCCCAGAAAAGGAAAGGAGAACACAAAACAACAGACAGCAATATTTTGTCTGAGATCATAATACAACTCGTGGTTCTTAGCGGTTTATCCTGATTTCCTTTAATTATCATTCCCACTATACCAGCTATTTAGTCGGTATGATTTATCCTTGGCTAGATTCTGTTTTAATTCTCGCCTATTTTCTACAGCTAGATGAGCTAGGGTTGTTGCCTTACTTGTGTATATATCTCTGAGATGAACAAAATTCGGCGGGCTAAGTAATCCAATAAACCCAGCCAAATTCCTCACGCATTGATGAGTCGCTCAATAGTATGATATGTGTGTGTGTGTGTGTGTGTATGACATACACACACATCCATCGTGAGTACATCGAATAGAAAGAGATGCCACCACAACTCTAGATGCATTTCCTTAGACTCATAAAATGCTAATAAATTTTTTATTTAAAGATAAATTACTCTCATTTCTCAAAAGAGATGCCTAAATCATACTACAATCCCCTTTCTTTAAACCACGATACACTTATATCTCCTCTAATAAACAAAAAGTTATAATTACAACTATTTTGCTCATGATGCATCTATATTATTAGTTATTAGTTATAGAATATAAAGAGTATCATCATTTGAAAAAAGAAGAATAGAGTATCAAATATTTTACTGAAATAAAATTGTCCTTTTTCTACATTGAGTTGTAAAATCATTTGATAAAAAATAAATACTAATATCAAAGAAACAATTGATAACCAGATATGCATGTTAATGTCAGCTGACATCTGAGGTTTTCCTCCAACATTTTTATTCTTACAAGTTAATTTAAAGAAGAGAGTGAGGACGACAAGGATCAAACGCTAGTTGGTCAAGAAAGCATCAACAATATCTCAACAACTCCTTTTCTCCGTAACAACATCCCCTAAAGCATAACTAACATGACCTCCAATCCTTGAAAATAATAAATGGAAATAGAATTATTTTGTTTTACACATTATAGGCCTCCTTATATGCATAATAAACCTATAAAAAGTAAACAGCAAATTAGAACAATCCTAATTTACCTAATTTCATACCAGAAAATGCAGAATGTTAAGTATGAAAAAGGAAAGAACATGAGAACTAATACTAACTCTAGTCCTTAATATAAGAACTGGTTAGTGAGTTGGATTTGTTTCTAAATATAGGATCTTAATTCACTTTATCTTTATTTTTTTTTCCCCTTAAAATATCCTTATTGATTGAAAGGGGCTTTTCCTAAGAGACAATTGAAATCGCCTAATGTATAGGATTAAAGAAGATTAGTTTAGGGAGATGAACACACATTTGTCACAAATAATTAACTTAACTAATTTTTTTAATATCTCCAAATTTTTAAACACTGAACCAAACGGACTTTCTATCACTAAATGAATAGAGACTGAACCAAAATATTTCAATTCGGTTCAGTTGGTTTAATCAGTTAAGGCACTGGTGGCTTTTTTTTCCTGTTTAAATCTGTCATAAAATCCCAAGTGGGGGGTGAGATGAAGCAGCAAGCATAGACATTGCAGTAAGCACAAAGCCGCAGAGACCGTAAGATCAATATGGAGATGAAGTGGAGAAGAAGAAAAGGGGAGATGAAGCAGTAAGCACGGACACCACAAAGAAGAACAAAAGCATCAATGTGGGGAGAGAGGGAGGCGATACCGTGACAAGAAGAAAGAGGAAGAGAGTGTGAGGGAGAGAGCAAGCTGATACCACTTGAGATCAATTAGCAAGAAGATGATGGGAGTGTTTTGAAATTGAGAGGACGCATTAAGTAGGAGGAGGTTACAGCAAGAAAGCATGAGAGACAATAAGCTATCTTACTTTAGCTCTTAGGGTTTAAGATATATTGGGCTGGGTTTAGAATTATGTTGGGCTTATTATGAGCTAACTTAGTTTTCATATTATACATATATATACACTCATATTTTAGTTAACCAAATGCCAAAATTTTAGGGGAAAAAAGAACCAAAACCAAACACCAAAATATTCGAACCAAAAAAACAAAAATACATTTGGTTCGGTTTGGTGATCGGTTACGGTTCGGTTTTGCTCATCCTCATAATCAGCTCTGCATAGATAAAGGTTTTTCTCTATTTGATGATCCCTTAGACACGTGGAAGAAAATCCGAACCTCTTGGGTCATCTGTAACAGCAAGTTTTACCCAAGACACATCTTCATTGGCCTCTGAATTCTTCCCTCCATTTATTCAGACCTTTCATCCTATTCTTCAAAGATTGCTGCTGAATCTAGTTCCTTATGGCTTGTGAAGTAAGCCAAAGTTCAAACCAAGTCCTTTGAACAAGACTTCTATAGCCAAGGTACCAAATTGCCAGTGTTCTAAGAATCAGATTGGACAGGCTGGTTTGAACAGTTGGATTGAGAACCAGTCGCATGTCCAGTCTGATGAGGTGAGAAAACCAGGGGAGCTGATAACCAGCCAAGAACCGGTTGAAACCAGTAGAACTAGTGGGTGAATCGGTCACATGTTCTTTATTTTTTAAAAATTTAATTCATGTTTTTAAGCTATGATTTATGCATATTTGCATTTAAAAAGCATTGGGAAATGGAAAATATTGAACAAATAGGCACGAAAAATGAGTATACAAATATTCTTAAATTATAAACTGTAAAATAAGTAAATACATCTTCAATGAAGACCATGAAGGATTAATAGATATTATTTTACTTCTATATATTACTTCTCTATGGATTTAATAATCATGTTTATGAATATAGATGAGGATTTCATTTTCACTTCAAGCATATATTATTCAAAATATATTAACCTATTAATGCCTGGTTTGACCTTGGTCTGACCATCGAATAGTAAACGAGTGCTTCGACTGATTCAATGGTCGGTTTGGTTTTCTAGCATCAAAATTGCTACTCCTCCATTACTCTACATTAGTTGTTGCCCCCACATACAAGTCTCAAAAATACATGGACTATAGATTCTTTTGCAGCATATCATATAGCTGGTATTTGGTCCCTTCTTACCATTACAAGCTGTGTTATGAGGGAATGAATGTCAAAGATGCTAATGGACCTTATATTAGGGTACAAGATTCCAGAGTTTTGCTAATTTTCATCATAATTTTGTGTTTTCCAGGGTTTGGAATCAGGGAAGAAGATTGGCAATGTTAACTTTTTAAAAAAAATAATTTTCTAATTCTACTGTAAATAAACTAACCCGTAGGGGCAATGTTAGCTTAAGGGAATGCTATTGTGATTTTTCTTGTGCTCTAAATCTATAGATAAGGCTCCTTCTCCCTTTGCCTTTGTTCTCTTATATTCCTCATGTCTAAATATGTGGCAAAAGAAGGCAGATTTGCACATGGTTTTTAACAGCATATAGCATCTTTCTCTTGTTTTAAAACTCTCAAAAGTAACTTGCCACATATCTAATTACATCAAAGATTAGCAAATGAACATACCATATCATTGAGATGAGGTTCCACCATCTCTCTCTTTACTTTGCTTGAGAGTTGTTCACTGGTTAGATGAGATCGCAAGTTGATGAGATAATGATGATAACAATATTTTATTCTATTAAAAGAGGTAAGAAATATACCGTTCATCATCAATGTCCATTTCAGAGTCTGCATCCCATTGCCCATCTCCATCTTCCCGATCTTCATCAGCCTAGAAAAATGTAAACACAAACTTTTAGAAAGCAAGGAAAAAATTGAATCCTATGATTGTGGAGATAGTACGGTGAGTGAAGTTTCCTAGAAGACATCTTCATTCATCAATCTCAGTGGTCAAGTGATACATAAAAAGAGATGTGGCAGCTAGTTTGCCTGAATATCATGGAGAGAAATCAGATAAAATAGTACAGCCGTGATATCCTAATTGTTGGGAGTAGGCCTTTCTCATCCTATTGGGCGTTCTCTAATTTTAGGATTTTTACTAAGTATTTTTCTGATTATTATCATGTATTTATCACATCATTCTGTCTTTATTATCATCCCTTTTAGAAAAACCTATAAAAATAATCCCCTGTACAGCTGCTATGCGTATCATATCATCAGAGAAATAAGGATAACTTTTTGAGATGGCCAGTGCAGCCAACAATAAATCTGGAAAAATAAAACAGAAGGATATCACCAATTACACCAGATTGCCCCAATCAGATGAAGAGATGATAGGCCCACCATTGGGCCTGCAAGTCACTTACACTCAGTGATATATTCTCTAGTCCCACACTGCTGATTTTACCAATTCCTGTTGCACATTCTTTGGTGACGACAGGTTTAAACATTAGTATGGCAAAAGTTAGCGGGTAATGCTTATGCTAATTGTGTATGACTTTTTGGCAGCTAACAAAGCACAAGATAAATCCTATTCACATTTCTTTCTCAATGCCTTTACTATATGGTGTCAAAACATGGCTGGAAATGGGAGACGATACACGTATTTGAGTCATATGGTCATTAGTAATTAGCACCTATGAAGAAGATGGTGGATGAAAGACCTAAGCCATGTAAAGCCTAAAACTAGGAAAATGGGGCAAATTCATTTCTAGTCATGGTAATAACTGACTTCATAATTGATGAGGCCATGAGTAGACAATGTCCCTATGGTGTAGTAGCAAATTGTTGTCCCTACGTCTGTTGACTGTTGTTAGGACTACACCAGTTGGCATGACATGCAAAAAGTTCCTTTAATGATCTCAATTCTCCATAGCAATGGCAAATGCTTTTACGTTATTTTTTTGTAACAACATTATCCATTTAGGATTAGCCTTTTTCCCCTGGCCAAACATTTAGAATTAGCTAGTGTTTTGTTTTAATCATGATAGAGTTATCCTATCTTTTTTTCCAATAACTGAGGGTAATCCTTTTTTTTATCAGGATTAGTTTTAATATTTTCTCACATAAACTTCATTTTTAAGATTATTTTAAATACCTTGCATAAACAGATCTTATGATATGATATTGTAATAAATAAATAACAGGATTATGTGAGTTAGTTAGAACACCTATATAAAAGGCTTATCTCTCATTTGTAGGTGTGTTGTATTGTGATCAGCCTAATGGATTGAATCTCTTTTTTCTGTCACTCTCTTTCTCTTCCGTCTATTACCTTCTATCTCTCTCTCCCTTCCCTCTACTTTTCCCTATTCTCTCTGTTTCTCTTCCCTTTCCCACCTCTCTCTCTTCTTCCATTAACATAACATTTTATCACTTTCTTTTTAATGTTGTTATTTTCATTCAATAAAGATGTGTTCAGATGATTATCATTCCTGCACATGCAAGAATATCAGTCTCCTCCGTCATTTCAGCCTCCACCTATGTGTATGACATTTTTTCAAATTTAACTCTCTTCTCCCTCTACTAACACTAAATCTGCGCCAAAATTCGTCAGATTCAATTGCACCATAACACCCTTTTGTTAAATGTCTACAAAAAATGGGGCCTTTAGAGACACATAGAAGCATGGCGCATCCATCACTGAGTGACCTAATTTCTCCACCAATAAGAGACAACGGGCAAACAAATCAACATTTAAGCACTACCACCATCAGCCCTTGCAATTCTTTCAATTTCTTAATATCCCTGACGATTGGGAATTCAGAAGCACTTCTTGCATTGAATGCTGAATCGCATCAGTTAACCAAGAACCATAGTCTCACGTCAAATCATCTTAGAGTCAGTAACTGGAATACTTCCCTCACTGATATTGTTCATTCAGGTTTTTGGGGTGTCAACACCAACGAGTATCAGTATTGTTAAATTTGTAAATGACTGCTCATGTATCACTTGGCTTTAATTAGGGACTGCTGTCCAAACAAAAGCCTTCACCTTTGAAGGGGCTCCAGCTTTCCAAAAGACCTACTAATTGAGGCAAGGTGTGTCCAACCACCTACTCACACTGATCTATAACTACAAGATCGTACATAGATCATTGTTTGCTGACAAAATTTCCCCCATAAGGGTCTTTAACTTTCTCAAAAGACCGAAAAATAAGATATGGGTTTGTCCAAACACACTCCCACATTTATCTATAAGTGCAAGATCCTTTCATCAAAATTCATAAACTACATTTCCCACAAAAAGGGTTTTCTCTTCGTCTCTCTCATTTCATAAGATTATGGAAAAGCAGCTGACTGTAGAATATCCAACCAATCAATTTCTAAATATTAGTGATTAGTGATGTGAAATAGAGGGCGGCTTGGGGGGTGGAGAGAAGGGATATAAGGGAGAAATAGAGAGAAATTGGGGAGAGGCTGAAAAATACTCAAGATTTATACCGTTCATCAAAGGTCTAGCAAATGAGAAAACCTTTGGCTTATTTATAGAAACCCGAGGTATAATTATTCAAATTAATAATCTAACCTAAATTAATATTCTAATAAATACTAAAAGATAACATAAAATAACTAATTCCAAGATAAGATAGATAACATAATCCTAAATTTCTGATATCTAATATTTAAAAGACAATATAGATTCTAAATTCAAATTGAAACCCTAAAACAAATTTACATCAATTAGCATATGTGACAAGGCGAGACTGAAGAAAATAAAGAGTAAACAAAAACATCGGTGACTACCTCTCCAAGATCAGAATCAGGTGGTCTTTCCTGGAATTGGACACTAGGAGCATGTTGCAGCTTGGAAAGATAATCAAGAAGCTTGGAACGGATATCATCCAGTAAATGACGGGAATTCTTGTTTTCCATGTTACTTGGAGCAACATGAAGAGTATAATCGGGACCAAAATACTCATAATACTCATGTTGTGGCATTTTGTCATCAACTTCTAATCCAAGAGCAACTCCTGTCTGCATTTACATATAAAGCATTACAATTTTATGAGGTTAGATGCCAAAATCTGCACAAAAGAATAAATCCACCAAATGTAAAAACTAATGAAGCATGATCACCATGCTGTGAAAACCAACAACCACATGATAATCCAACCGAGACGCTACCAAAACAGAAACAAAGGAAAGGAAACAGGAAAAAATTCCTAAGAGCTCCTATGGTCTCCTCATTTATAATTCACATTGAACTGTAAAAGAGAACAACTAAACTACTTGGAACTCAATCATCACCACATGCACTGAAAGCCTGAAGTCATAACTTAGGGGCTCACAATGTCTATTACATTTTTAATTAAAAAAAGTGCATTTTGAACTATTAAGGCAATAACTTCACTTATGGCTACTGAAATTGCCACAGCAGATAAAATAGTCCATGGACCTTTCAAAGCCTTGAAATTAGATAAATGATAACAATTTAATGAATCACAAGAACATTATACCTCATAGCACCAGCACCGAGCAACATTCCTAATGGTGTAACCACCACCACCCAACAGCAAGAGGGGCACATTAAATGACCTCATGTATTTGACACACTCTGCATGACCTCTAATTGAAAGATTAAAGCATCCCAGTCTGTCCCCGGACAAGGAATCAGCACCACACTGGAGAACTACTGCACCAGGCCTAAAAACTTCCATCACCTTGCCAATTATTGGTTTGAATAAGAAATGATAACTCTCATCATCAATCCCATCATCAAGCGGAACATTGAGAGAGTAGTATTTTCCCTTTCCATATCCAGTATCACGTATATCTCCTGTACCAGGAAAATAATCACCAAATTTATGGAAGGAAACAGTCATGACTCTGTCAGTAGTGTAGAAAGCTTCTTCCACCCCATCCCCATGGTGGATATCAATGTCCACATATAGAACACGCTGCAACAAATATTACATGATCATTTCAGAAAAAGGATTTGGGCATATAATACAATCACAAAGGTTTGCAAACTGGAGATGTTAGAGTAAACAGGCAGATCAAACAATGAACAGTAAGAAATCAAGTTATGATAAACCAACTGGGTAGGACTTAAGAGTCTATCTTAGAATCTTGAGGTATCTAAAAATGAAATCCAGCAAGGGTATCTTGACTCAAAAAAAACAGAACACAAGAACAAGAGATTGAAGTTAGAAAAAAAAAAAAAAAAAAATGTAAACTATGTAAGATTAGTGAACAAAATGTCTGCGACTGGGTACTAAACCTTTGTATGGGCCTGTAGGTGGCAATCTCATCACGTTGAAAAGTAAGAAGTTGCCTGCTGTGGCAAGGAGCAATAGCTAAATTTTATGCACTAACCTTAGGAATTTGTGGAAGAAATTAAATCAACAGAGTCGTCGAAGAACTGAAGATTTCATTTGAACTGCCTATAAGGATTGTAGGTGTTGAAAGATGAAGACCTAATCCCAAGCCCATTTAGAAGGGCCCAATTAGTTAGAATATTATTCAGTGTTTTCATTGATTATTTTATCTATTATTTAAATTAGAATTAATTAGATTACATAGGATTTGATTTTATCCTAATTTATAGTTAAAGATATTAGGTTTTATCCTTTAATTTTCCTATATGCATCAAGCAAACACATTGAATAAAGCTTTGAGGCTGAGCACCAATACTCAGCCCATCTTCTTCTTCATTATTCTTCAGTAGGTAATAACAATATGGCCAGCATTAACATAGTGAAAAAATCCTTTCGTCATGATAGGACAAGGCGCATTGAAACTGATAGTCATTACATAGAGAAAAAGATTAACACTAGTAGGATGGGTTCCCCCAACCAAAAAAAAGAAAAGAAAAGGAAAAAAGGACATAGAAAACAATCAAACACACAAATATAAGATATAGAAACTCTTTTTAATGCGTATCAATATGTATGCATAAAGAATCAGTGGAACACTACTTCTTTACCACTAAAGCAAGGATACGCTTCGAAAGCTGGGCATTTTTCTCTTTGGAGTTGAGGAGAGGAAGCTCAAGGATAACACTCAATGAGGTCATTCAACAAGATTTTTTGGTTAATAAGCTATCTAAAGATTTGGTTGTTGATAACGCACAATGACGTCGTGTGATCCATGTAGCCGACTCCACCTAGTGGAATAAGGCTTGTTGTCTCTTAGGAGTTGAGCAAGTAATGCTTAAAAGAAGTGGGCTCCTTGCCAGGTAATTATTAGGTTTGAATGAAAGTAGGCTATATAAAACTAAGGTTCCAAGAAAAATTTTAAGCATAATCCATCCTCCAAGGTCTCTTTCCCATTTTTGTACATTCAAAATCATCTTTTTTCATATCAGTTCCCATTCTACAAGTAAGCCTCCTATATATATCCTCCATACTGGAGGTATGATCCCTCAAGCTCCCTCAAAGTCAAATTACTATTGAAAAAGTGACGAAGAAAATATGAGCACAAAGGATAAGCACATTACAGGTAAAACGGAAGGAAGCTAAAAAGGGAAACATCAAGGGAAAAAATGCCCATTATTACACCAACCTCATGCTGTTTAAGAAGTTCCAAAATTGCCAGGACTATATCATTAACATAGCAAAATCCAGAAGCCTCACACTTTTTGGCATGATGCAGCCCACCGGCCCAATTGATAGCAATATCACATTGGTCATGATTCAACTTAATAGCACCACCAACTGAACCCCCAGCATAAGTTTGACAAAAAGAATAAAGACCATCAAAGACAGGGCAATCTTCACCAACATTAAAACGCTTGAGTTGCCTAAGCTGATCCTGCTGTGTTTCAGGAGTTATGCTTCGAAGGAATGAAACGTAGTCATCAGCATGAAATCGGCAAAGATCTCTGTCTCTAGCAGGAAACGGCTTAAGGACCTGCATGTGCTGAAGCAATCCGTAGTGGGCAAGAAGAGCATGTGTCATTCGAATACGATGTGGCTTCATAGGGTGACCTTGCCCATAATAGTAATTTCCAACCTCAGGATCATAGAAATAGCAGACTTTTCTCTTCACCCCATCAGGAGCAGACGGCAGAGAATTTCCTCCAGAATCCATGCCCTGTAATCTACCTGCATATCAATACACAATCTTAATAGAATTTCCTTGAAAAAGAGGAGCGAGAACATGACTATAAACACTCCAAAAGGCAACAAAGCCATAAAGAAACCAGATATTTACAACCACCGCAAAACAAAGATTCTGATAAACTTATTATTAAAATTAAATATAGAAGAAAATACTGTGCTACAAAGAAAAAAGCTAATATCTTCCCTAATGAATTATCTTCCCTAATGAATTAAGAGTAAAAACCAGACAAGAGAACTCTGTCTATCATGTGGTTTCACTCCACTTTTATCCCAGTTCGCACAACCTTATTTTGCCGAGAAAGGATAAAAAGGAGAGGAATCAATATCCGACGGATAACGAAGAAAGTGATAGTGAAGATTGAGAGAACTGGAACTAGCTAAAAACAAGAATTACAGTTTTTCAGAAAATGTATCGGGAAAAGAAAAACCAAAAAAATGTAACAACAAAACCACCAGCGGAATCATTAGAATAATGCATTGCTACGCTACTGGATGGATGAGAAAATAAACGCAAAAATAGCAATTTATAACTCGGTCCGCTCTTTGACACAAAAACACATCAAAATTTACCTTCAATTTCAGCCTTCTTTATTGTTTTATTCGCCCCGGAACAACGACAAGACAACTAAAGAAAAGAAGAGCTACCCCCCAAAGCCCAACCCTTCCGGCAAGAATTTGAGTCAGCGTGTTCGACGATATCTTCGAACTCAGAGCAATCGGGCTAGCGCCGGACTTACATAGATTTGGGGAACTTGATTATTTGATTATACGGGGCGAAGGTGATTTGTATGTTAGGAGAGACGTAATGATAATTATTTTTTTGCCATCCATAATAATTAATTTACCATTTTATGCTTTTATATTAGTTCATATTTTTTATTTATATATATATAAATTAATTTACATGTTAATTCAAATTATATAATTTGTTAAAATTCACTATTATTCTAGTATAACAATATATTTAAAAAATAAAACATCACAAAAATCATGAGTGCAAAATAATCAAGAAATTGGACTTCCCTAAAAGAAAATTGATCAAAAATTTTTAAGACATTAATTATATTTTAAAAAATTAATATGAAAATTCTTCTTAAGGAAAGTTTCACTTTGTCCCCACTGTAGAGATTTAATATCTAAATACCCCATAAAATTTTGAAATACACTACACTCTTATGAGGGTAAACTGAAATTAAATTGAAAAGTTAGAAGATCAAAATGACCCTGGAGAGAGAGAGAGAGAGAAAGCTTTGCTTTAGACAGAGAGTGATGAGTAAGAGGCCCTGAGCGAGAAACCTAGACTTTCAAACTAAAGCTTTATTCATAGACCTCCAAGCTAAAACTTCACCGACGCTGCTCTCACAAGCTGGTGAGCATACTCTATCATCAATGCTGCACTCAATCATTTTTCCCGTTGGTTGCCATTCCGTGATCGCTACCGTTGGTTGCCATTCTATGATTGCTAGTGTACATGAGAAAGTCAATAAATTTGAGAGACTCAAAGGTAAGTCTTCAACCTTAGTAGCCAAAGTTGATTGTTGTTTACTTGTTTTTAAGATTTAGGAAGGAGTTTCAATCGTTCTTGTTGCTTGTCATCTTCTTGAAACTGGGTCGAAGTTTAATTTGGAGCTTTATTTTTTTAATGTGGTTCCTTCTTCACATTTGTTTAGTGAGTATTGTTTTTGCATGTCTTTGGTTTAAGTTGTTGAAGTTAAAGAATTTAACAGGTACAGTTTTTTGTAGTGTGACAAGTGACGTTAGGAAATTTACACTAAGAATTAGTGCATTAACAAGACAATGGTAGGAATTTCATGTTTACTGCTATAACAGGTGAAGTTAGGCAATTTATAACAATAATTAGTGCATTTACAAAGTAATGAAATCAATTTTAGACTTACTAGTATAACAACTAAAGTTAGGAAGTTTATAACAACAATTAATGCATTTACAAATTGATTATAGAAATTTAATGTTTACTGGTGTAACAATTAAAGTTAGACAATTTACAATAAGTATTAGTGCATGTACAAGTTGATTGTAGCAACTTGATATTTACTAGTATAACAACTGAAGTTAGACATTATTTTGAGTTTTTATTATCTAATGATTGTACTTATTGTTGTGCCATAGGAACAACTCGTTTCATTGAGGTCGAACATGTTATGGTGACTTATTACTCAAAAAAGTAATTCGAAGCCGGATGTTGTTACAAAACTATTTGAATAAATGAAGCCACAGTGAAAAAGAAAATGATGACCTATAAATTCATGTATTTCATTTGAATATGTGATTTAAATTAGTTTATAATATGTACAAATGTGTATTAAGGCATTTTGATTTGGAATACTTTGTGTGCAAGAAACTTTTGACATTGCAATTCTATACATTCATTAGTAGTGATTATGCAAGTTAGAAACTTGTGAAGTAACCATTCACAACAACAATACAAGAATTTACAACAAAAATATGGTGATTCACAACTAAACTAAATATTTTTTTGTGATGTATTGCTAAAATTGTTTAAATAGACTTATAAAAAAATCACAAAGATTCGAGTCTAGTGAAATACGTTAATTTGCAACAAGGATACATAGATTAATAAGAAAAAAATTGTTCATTTGCAAGTGAATTAATTTAATTTACAAGTTGAACATGATAATATACAAGGTTGGGAGATATTCTTAATAAATAGAATATGCCAATTTGCAACAAGGATAGTAGATTAATAAGAAAAATATATCTATTTGCAAGTGGCCTAATTTAATTCACGAGTTGAACGCAATAATTTACAAGTTTGGGGATATCATTTACAAATGTAATATGCCAATTCACAGCAAGGACACATAGATTAATAAGAGAAACACATCCATTTACAAGTAGACTAATTTAATTAACAAGTTAAACATGATGATATACAAGTTTGAGAGATATCATTCATAAGTAAAATATGTCAATTTACAACAAGGATATGTAGATTAACAAGAGAAAGACAGTCATTTACAAGTGGACTAATGAAATTCACAAATTGAACATGATGATATACAAGTGTAGGAGATATCATTTACAAGTAGAATATACCAATTTGCAACAAGGATATGTAGATTAATTTAAAAAAAAAAAACACATATGTTTGCAAGTAGACTAATTTAATTCACAAGTTGAACTTGATGACATACAAGTTTGAGAGATATCACTCACAAGCAGAATACACTAATTTGCAATAAGAATATGTAGATTAACAAGAAAAATACGTTGATTTGCAAGGAGACTAATTTAATTCACGAGTTGAATGCAATAATTTACAAGCCTAGGAGATATCATTCACAAGTGGAATACGCTAATTTGTAGTAAGGATACATAAATTAAGGAGAAACATGTATATTTACAAGTAGATTAATTTAATTCACAAGTTGAAAATAAAGAAATACAAGTTTGGGAGATATCATTCATAAGTGAAATACTCCAATTTGCAACAAGAATACATAGATTAACAAGAGAAAAATGTCCATCTGCAACAGGACTAATTTAATTCACGAGTTAAATATAATGATATACAAGTCTGGGAGATATCATTCACAAGTAGAATATGCCAATTTGATACAAGAATACGTAAATTATCAAGAAAACCATATCCATCTGCAAGTGGACTAATTTAATTCACAATTTGAGTGTAATAATTTACAAGTTTGGAAGATATCATTCACAAGTAGAATACACCAATTTGCAAACAAGAATGCGAACATTAATAATAGAAATACATCTATTTGCATAGTGCAAGTATTGTTGTTAAATCTTCCTACAATTAGAAATGAATTCCTCTTGTTAGCAAACTCGTGTTATTTAGTTGTAGATTTGCATAATTTAAGTAATAAAAAAGTAAATGTTTAGATATGTATAGATGATTGCCAAGAAAATTTTACTGTGAGTTTGCTGATCTTAGCAATCATCTTTCATAAGCATCAATTTCAATTCAAATGTATGAAATAAGATTATAGAGTTGGAGTACAAATTTATACACATTATATTTCCAATACAAATATATGAAATTTCCAATACAAATATATGAAATGAGATGTTATTGCTTTCTTGTCCTACTATCTAATTGCTTCATTCAAATAGTTTTGATGCAGCATTCTTCTAATTTCTTTCATGTTCACTCTTCCTCCCCATATTCAACAGATCAACACCTGCAACAATTACAGACTATTAGTTTGTAGCAGTAAAAAAATTATAATTAATGTAGCTAAGCACAATCTGTTGTCAATGAGTTTAACCTTCTTAAACTACGATTTATTTTATTTTTAGGGTGAATGTCGCTAGAACTTTTGTTTTCCAGTAAAAGAAAGTCATCTCTATCATGTTAGGGTCCAAGTTATATGAAAGTAAAAAATGTCACTTCAGGCTTTTCACTCAGAAAAATGTGAGAATCAAATGGTTATTTTACACAAAGATATGTGAATTTTCGACTAAAATAAGGTACTCATTTCTTAATATAAGATCTATTTAACTAATTTGTTTATATTAAGGAAGTTAGATAAGTTAATTATAAGAAATATGATATGTTTTTCCTAAAATACCATAATCATCTTCCTTAATATTCTCTCTTTTTTTATTTGATTATGCTTGAGGGAGTATTAATAGGAGTAATTTAGGAAAAAAATAATAAATATGAGAAATAAGTCTTATATTTAGAACTAAAATCAACTTAATAATTAGGTCATATATTAAGGACCAGAGGAGTAATTTTCAATTAGATTATGGGAATTTTCAACTAAACTGAATTTTATATTCTCTTTGGCTAGATATATCTAACAGGTTTTATACAATGCTAACCAATTACTCTCTTTGGTTCAAAATATAAGCTAAACTTTATTGGAGGGGTTTGATTTTTTTTTTAATAAGAGAACATTCACTTTTGTCTAATTATTTAATGTATTTTTTTCCAATTTTATCTCTGTATATTTTCTTTCCTCTTTGATTCATTTATTGTATTTTTTACTTGTTCTTTTCATTAATAAAGACATATTTGAAGGGGAAAAAATACATACCTTATATGTTTATTGTTTTAAACTAATTGTAACTAATTTCTTGATAAATTTGAACTGGTGGGAGTACATTCTCTTTGCCTTTTTCTTCAAGAACCCGACACCTTACTCATACAAAAACTCAAAGGAGATCAAAGCCCCGCTTTGACAATCACTTGACAATGGCAATAACATGTAACTAGAAAATAATATATACACACCCATAATTCGTTCATGACATTCCTTTTTATGCTGTTCAGTCTTTTTTTAACCCCAAATTCACACAACCCGTAACCCACACACACAGAAACAGATTCCCTGGCATCAGCCATCACAAAGCCAGACCCAAACAATTTACACATAATCAAATATCATCGTTAACCTTCACTTATATACCATCATCACCTTCAATCAATGGTTCTTCCTCAATATACCAACTTCACTATCAAATAAACCCAATCAGAGAAATAGAAGATTGAGGATAAATCAAAAGGCTTACTTTTTCCAAATTTCACTCTTGCATTTGGGTTTTGATCTCTTCTCTTTCTCCTTCCGATAGCCTTTTAAGTTTCCTCTCTTGATCGGATGCTCTCTCTTGCTTTATGTTTTCCTTTGGCTATAGCAACTAGCAAGCACCATGACAATAATGGCCTTACTAGAATGATGTTGATCGCGACAGATCTTGTTCAACAGCTGCAGGACGCTTGAGATTTTTCAGAGAGTGAGAGGAAGATCTTTGACACATAGCCTAGCTTTTGGCCCTTTTTGCAAATTTTAGTGGCAATAGTTTTGAGGGGCAACAACATCTTTTTTCTTTTCAAATTAATTTCATTTGGCTCTTATAATTCGGTAGTGAGATTTTAGAATTATAAAAGGGCTTTTGATAATAAATAGCTCCACTAATCCTAAAACAAAAATTTGCCTTCTTATAATATGGAATCGAAAAGGCATGCGGGACCGAAGTCTCCAATTATAAGACAAGCCAATAGAATTTCACATGGGAGTGAATAAATAACTCCAGTAATCCTAAAACGAAAAAGGGATTGGAGACCCATTTTCTTTTAACCATTACACGTGGGAGTGAATAATTTTACCTTATTTCTAACTATATCCTTGTAGTTTTTTTATTTATTTTTATGGGGTCCTTATAGCTTCTCTAATCATAGCTATCATCAATTCCTATATTTATAATATGTTAATTTGCAAGAGAAGCGACTTTAGTAATACTTTTTTATTTTTATGTTGGCAATAAATAAATTTTATTGTATCATTTTACTATTTAAAAAGCCCTTTTTATTTTGTATTTTTGTGGTAACCTACCTGTCGCTAGCATGCACATAGAGTCAGTTGGGATGCCAATTAAAACAGGATAGGATAGCTGGGATGCCAGTTAGAGGCGCTCCCCTTTAGAAGTCTTTTGTCAAGTTGTACTTGCCTTATGATTCCCAAAAAAAAAATATCAATTATCCTAGAGCTAAGCAGGTCTAGTTAAATCTAGTGAACCATACCAAACTAAACTATTTTTTACCCTCATTTGTTGCAGGATTGGATCTTGGGGAAAGTAAAAAATAAAGTAGAGCTCAAGCATAAAGAAAATCACCTGACCGCATCTTTTTGCTTAAGCATGCTGGAATATATGGAAAACAAGATGCAGCTTTCTTATATACTGAAGAGGACTTCTTTGAAAACAATATAAATTTCATTAACACTAGAAACATTATCAATGATGTTAAGCTGAAAGCTAGGATGAATACTTCAGTTTCAAGACAACAGGATATACACTTCAGATGACACACACCTCAACTTGGCGGGTCAGATTGGATGCTGACAGGCCAGTTAATAAGGAACGACCCTTGTGGATGTCTCATTCAAGATGGGCAAGAGAGGTGGGAGAACGGTTTTAATAAAAACCTTGGCTTCCAACCTACCATGATAACAAAATTCACCTGTTTGGATGGTGTGATCCCAAAGCCTTGGTTTTGTATCCAAAGGTGCCTGTTTCCTTCTAGCCAAGTACCCTCTATGTCCTTCGACTGTAGAATATTACGCGAGGGATTCTTTAGTGGCCAAAGCATTGCATTTAACAAAAGTAATTTAGTGGAATAAAAAACAAATATAGAACATGAAAGAGAAAAAACAATTCTCAGCTTTAAGATTCTCCACATCTTTTATACAATGTTCATTTATCTCTGGAGCTCAATATACAAAGCCATGCCATTTTAGATTTTCCCTTACCCCTCACAATCAACCCACTTAAATATTTCTTCTTTTCCCTTACCATGGAAATCCAATCTCAATATCCCTCATCTTATCAACATTCAAAATTCTCCAGCATTACCACATGTTAGCATTTGTTTTACTGCATTCCATGACATAGCTAAAAGCATTAAAAAACAAATGCAATAATAAAGAATCTAACCAATAAACCTCAAAGTTGTCCAACCAACTTCTTCTATGAGAAAACTTAAGACAAATCTGCTAATTTTGCAAAAATTTATGAAAGCATATTTACATTTCCATTTGAAGATTACATTTCCCAAAAAAAATTGGTATGGCAGAAAAGGAGTGATAAGAGCAAAAGATTCCAAGTGAGATTAGTTAGGCTAACATTCTCAACATCCCCCCCTCAAAAAAAAAAAAAAAGAAATCTGACAAACATTTTAAAAGTTTAAAACACATAAGCAATTACGAAAATATCCTCAAGTCATTAATAATGGAAGTGTTCAACTTTACGGCTCGATTGACATGGTATATCTCAGCCTAACTGACATGATATTCTGTTGAATGATCATATAATAAAAATTTAGAAGAGCCCTTTAAATTTCAGTAGAAGATGGTTTTAAGTGTGTACCTTGTTTAAATTTCTAACATTTAGAGTAAAAAAGTGCATCAAGGTTAAAATCATTTTAGATTTTCTTACAGTAGCTTGGGTTCTCAATTCATTGGGTTTCTTTCACATTGACAGGTGATTTATAACTACCGGATTGTGATGACTGAATAAGAACCTGCAAGTCAAACTGATACTGTCACTGTCTAATATGCCAACTGGATATGCCCTTTCGTAGAGATTTTCAACAAATGGAACTTGATTGACTCCATGATTCTTCTTAGCCATTTGGGCAGAAAGAAGATCCATATCACGAGTAGTAGTCCATGGAACACTACATATTCTGCCTCCTAAAAGGCACAGTTCTGAAACTACAAGCTCTTGCTAAAGAACCAGATTGTCATATATGTGAGGTCACAACCAATTGGGATAAGTTCAGCATTTGTCTGACGTAATCTATTGATTAGGTCAAAGACTATTCCAAGCTCAACCATAGAAGTATTCTTTGCAGGTTGTAACTAAGTTCAGCAGAATTTTAAGATATAAATACGTGTATGCGTGTGTATGTGTTATGTGACAGTGAGATAGTTGTAAGTCAAGAGTTACAAAAGAACAGTATAAGTACTCCTCGTGTATCCATCTAAAGCTGTTGAATAAGAAGCAATCAATTTTCCCCCCTCCCCCGGGTGGCCCTCTACAAGTGTGTGTACTTTACCTTCTCATAAGATTTGGTTGATACAATAATTACATATGCAAACATATCAATTATCTTCCAGTCATAATACTACAAGGGAAATGGCAAACTTGGTTTTGTTTTTTTTCCAGGTTAGATGTAAAGAGTGTAAAGGAAGGATAAGACTAGAATATTAATTATGGAGTAGTTGCAGAAACTAAAGTTTGTTCTGATTATAGTATAGTTATAATGGAAGACTACACTTGGTACTCTATAACTATTATGTTAACCATCTGTAGAGAATTTTTATAATGTCACCTCATTTGACATCTTTTTTCAAATAATTCCTCCCTAGATACTTCTGAAAAACACCTATCATTAATCATTTCTTCTTAAGGACGAAGCACATGCATGAATTTCAATAATTGCTTAATTATATTTGCACCATATATCATGAAGAACCTAGGAATATAGCTACCAGAACTTAGCTTTTCTTTTTATTAATTTTTGTAAAATCAGAATGTAGAAGTGCATAAAATTGATAAATCACACACACACACACACACACACACACACACACATATCCAATTAAGATTAGAGTAACTTGGCTACCTTGGCTTTTTTGCTTCTTGCTTTTGCAAATTTGCCATTCTCTCGAATGTCTCTAAGTGTTAATAAGCCAATTAAAGTATGGTCAACACCAATAATCACTGTATAAGACTGTTTCTCTACAAGCATGAGATTTACTACCGCTATAAGTTTTGTGCCCATTGAGACTGTCACATATCTCATCTTCATGGCTTGTGAAACTAACGTGTTTCTTCCTAAATGTGTGGTTTCAATAATATCATCCTCCACACAAAGAAGACTCTCAACTTGACACAGGTTACTTGTATTAGGCACACTTTCAGCAATGGAACAATTAGTAGATGATTCAATTGAACTATTGGCAGAATTTTTTGGAAGAATAATACAATTTGAGGTTATAAATTTGTGCTCCCCTGCACCCTGATCATTCCCTTTCCTTGTCTCTACAGATGAAACCCATGAAGACATGCTTACAGCTCCAAGGAGTGGTAAAACAATCCAATAGTCCTGGGTCAGTTCAAACAGTAGTAAGACAGCAATAAGAGGCACCTGACATACTCCTGCAAGAGTTGTAGCCATTCCAACCTGCAAAAAAAGCTTTAATTCTATCTAAAAAAATCTTTAATTGGATATTCTCAGCCACAATTCTCTTGACCCCAATAATGAGACATACGAGAGATTAAAATACAAATAAATCTTCAATTTCCAAATCTGTTTCGTGTGCTTCTTCATGCATTGATTCAATATTCATACAAGTCTAATGCTACAAGGAAATCGATGAATCCAATCCAATTTGAACAACCATATGCTCATATCAAGCCACTGCAAGGACCAATACTATTTTCTACTATGTTACATGGGATTAGCAGTAAAGAATCGATGTTAAGAGATGGTTCTGAAAACTCTTGTAACTATCAGAGTACTCTAAGTAGCATAAATAAAGGTATCTAGCTCAAGTTATCAAGAAGTTCAATTGTTCCTAGATATTCAACGTCATCTCATAGTTTAACAGATCATCTTTTAACAGATCATTTTTTTCACATCAAAGTATAATTAATCATATGTTGATTAAAGTATTGATTTACAGGCCTTTTATATTGTTTAACCCGGTGGAGAGCACACTCAATTACAAATATCTCCATTGCACTTTCTTAGGTTGAATTTGCTTCTTGAGTAGCATCCCAAATCTCTGATGCAGTCTCATAGTACACTTAACTGATATTGAACTTCATATAATTTGTGAGCCATGCCATTAGCTGATTATTCTCAGTTCCAAGTTTTGTAGTTGGGATATGTGACTGCTGGCATTTTTATTTCATCAGTTAGGTGTCCCTCCCAGCCTTAGCCACAAACAAACATCAGTTAGGTGACTTAGCAGCTGAATTGGAATTGAATACTTCTGAAAAGCACCTATCATTAATCATTTCTTGGAAGTCACGTGCTGACATGTTCACTGTCATTTAATATGAAGTCACATGCATAGTAAATTGGCAGCTGACTTGGAATTGAATTATCTTCATTTTATTTTATTAATATTTATTTTAGTGGTTAGTCTAAGTGCTGCATAAGTTTAGGAGAAAGTGGAGTCTGTTATGATTATTTACTAAGTATGTTATTTTTTTGCACATGTTTTGGTTTATCATTTTCCATTTCCTAAGTCAACTTGGTGGGTTAGAACTTTAGGGAGTCATAAGTCATTTTTCTGTCTATATAAATTGAGGTTCACTATCCGTAGAAGCAAATCAGTATTTATCTCTATTAGTAGAGATTCTCCATAGGCTTTATTAGTAGTATGAGCTTAAGATTATTGCTCATATTCTAGTGTGGATTTTCCTTCATCTTTATTATTTTGCTAAGTCAGATTCTAGTTTCATACCATAGTAAAGATTTTCCCTCCTCCTTTCCCTCTACCTATCTTGGATCTTATCATCTACCCACGAGTCTATAATAGGTCCCTTTTATCCCTTTATCAACAACTGCTTCTTTTGGAGAATCACAAGGTTTATGGTTTGGCTCTATAGGCAGGCTTAAAGTGCAACTTGCTTGTATTAGTCAACATGTTCGACACATACTTATGTTGCGTATAAAGATCCCCTGTTGTGAGCAAGCAACCTCAATGTTAAGAAAGTATTTGAGTCTACCTCACTCTTTGACCACAAATTACTTCACTAATTGTCTTAGTGGCTCAATCCATTCTAGGTCATTCCTAGAGATTATGATGTGGTCAACACAGAGAGGTGGCATGGTCATTCTCCCTAAGACTAGTGTTTCACAAATATAGTATGATCACCTTGGCTTTGATTGTGTCCTATGCTAAACATTGTCCTTTCACATCTAGTAAGCCAAGCTCTTAGACTGCAATTGTGCCTTGTTCAAGATTCAAACCAAACCTTGGAGGCACTTCACTACTTCCATATGAATATCCTCTGTTAAAAACACCACATAGGAATGTAATTTTGACATCAAACTATTGTTATGTCCCATCAAGGTTAGCCGCCACATATAGTAAAATTAACAATTCATTTTAACAACTGGAGTAAAGGTCTCTGTAATACTATATCATAGTGAATGTTGGGCTTTAAATAAAAAACAAGAGCATAGAGATGGGCTAGTAGAGATAAGGATGTTAAGATAAATATGGGGCCATATAAAAAAGATAAAATTTGTGGCATGGTGTCTATTAAAGGAAAAAAAATTACTAGAAAATCATTTGAGTTGGTTCATGTACAAAGAAGGCAATTGAAAGCACTTGTAAGGAGGGTAGATAAAATAATATGAAGTCCTTTGAAAAAAAAGTAGAGAAAGACCAAAGAGAACACTTAATGAAGTTATTGAACAGGACATTTTGGTTAACAATATATCCAAAGATTTGGTGTTTGATAAAATATAATAGCGTCGTGCGATATATATAGCTAACCCCATCAAGTGAGATAAGGCTTGTTATTATTCTTGTTGTCCATACTTATACTTTGCAACTGCCTCAAAAACTTTTCCCCTAAATTTCTTAGAATAATTGGAGCATCACAACCTTATACTTTGCAACTTTACCTCAAGGACAAAATGAGAATTATGATCTCACCAAGCACTATCGTACTACTTCAAGCTTTTATTCTAATTTTATTTTGTAATTCTAGGTTGTAATGCATTTCCCAGTTGTAAGAGGGGATAACATTTCTTAAGGAGACATTTATAGTGTTTTTGTGAGTAATATCAAAGCCCTAGTTCCAATTACATTCCTTGATCTCCTGCTACTTTTTTCTTGCAGGGAAGAGGTTAGAAGACTCAACGAGTTCTTGGCAAAATCCAGAGCATTCGTAGACTAAGAATTAAAGAATTTTGAAATATTAAGGAATAATCATTTGACGCATACAGAATAGGGGAGTTCTTTCCATCCACAAAGTCACGTTGGGAAGACTAAGTTTACCTCCTCTCTTGGAAAGAAAAGAAATCAAACATCTTAAGGTAAAATTTATACATTATGGATCTAACTAAGAAAAAATGCCACGGAATGTTACCAGGCCATAAGCTTGGGGCGATGCCACTTCCAAAACAGAAAAATTAATTATAGGATTGAACCCAGCAATGATATAACCAATGAATTTCCCATATGCTATCCTAGTGGCAGCACCAATAAAGAGAGATGGGGCGTAATAACCTCCCACTAATCTAGAAGCTTGACACAGAGAAGTTGCAACAATCTTAATGGCTATTAGCTGAAGCAGTAAGTCAATGGGAACACTCTTCATAAATGGCCAGGATTCTAACAAAAGGCCAACATTCTCAAAGCCCCAATAAAGGATTTCAGGATATACCAATGCTATTAGTCCAACAGATAAACCACCAAATACAGGAAATAAAGCTCTTGGTATGCCAGTGACCTTGTGAAGATAGTTAACACTTGCTATCATATATGAAGTGCACCAAGATAGGGCTAGTGACACCAAGGCACCAAAGATACCCAGTAATAGATACAATGGTAGCTCTGAAAAAAAGTGAAATAACTCTCATGGTATATACCAAATTGATATTAAAAAAAAAAGCTTTAATAAACAGCAAGCAGCAATTCCAAATGAGCTATTTGTCACCCTTCTATGCATCATAAGCACCATCTTATTAAATCAAATGGAGAATTACAATCAAGTCTCAGATAAGAAAATTAATCTTTTCCTCGGTCCCATTTACAAATGAAACTTCAATATTTACATGCCAAACTTCAGTACATACAAGTGGAGGGACATACAAGTAATTGATTTTCTAATTTCAGACCTACATCTATGGATTAAATTTTACAATCTAGTTTCTGTTTTCACAAAAAAAAATCAAACAATAGAACAAGGCATATATAGTGTCAAAATTGATATATAGTACAAAATTTATAACAAATTGCACCATTCACAAACTATGAACAGTGTAACTAATTTCTCATACTTATTGTAATGCACAGGAAAATGCATCTAATTTGCCCCCCAAAAAAAATTGAAAGCAAAAAAAAGAATGCAAAGAAAGAACATTTAGACCTTTATATGTTTAAAATCTCACCATGATGACAATTGCCGTTGATTTACACCTTATCACTTTGCAATTAATGCTTAAAACAATAGCATTAGAAGTGACCATGCCTTGCCTACATTGCTGTTAAAGATGGTAGAAGAATTCAAGGAGTCGATTTGTAAGCAATGATAGGTAATAGCAATTCTAAAAGTGACTAGAGCAGAGATATCAATGCCTCTTTTTTTTGGGCCAACAATATGAAGGGCTTTATTCAGAGAAAAGATAACTCGTGATTCAAAACAAAATTAAACATAGAAGATATATTAGACAATCTAGATAACTACTTCTATAAATAAAAAAAAAATCTTAAACATCTTTATCTTAGGATAGCAATAAAATAACCCTATTTATGTTTCCCATCAAACTGACAAAATACCTTGTGCATGGAACTAAATATCAGCTTCAAATGAAAAGGTAAAATGTGCCTAGCTCACCACCAATTGAACGAAAGTCATATTCTGGAACTGTAAAGGTTGGTTCAAACCCAATGCCAATCTCAGAAACTACTGAAGCTAGGACAGCACTAAGTATTACCGTAGATGTAGTATTTGTAAGTGATATAGATACATCTATAGGTGAGGGCCATAAGACAGACTACATGGCAAAAAAAACAACCAGCAACAGCAGCATTGAAACCTGAAAGCACACAAGGTTGTAGAATGATTCCATGTATTAGTAGAGCACTAAAGTGCAAATGCTACATAAATATTGGCAGCATATTACACATAAGAAATTTGCAAAAATGTGACTTAATTAATGAAAATAAAACATTGGAACCAGATCTGAATATTTCTAAGTCTAGCATAATCCCAAATCCTCACAAGAAAATTGGCCGAAAAGGATGCTAAAAGAACTTCGAGTTAAATATCTAGGTCCTATAAGAATGCATTGAGACAACATGGCAAGTATTGCAAAAATTTTAGTTTGGCATGATAAAACTGAGATCATAGAAATTGACAGACATTTCATTAAGGAAAACGTGGTCTCTAACATTATTGGACAAACATATATACCTACAAAGATGCATGTGGTAGATATCCTCACAAGGGCACTACATAAAGCAAAAATGGATGAACTTGGAGGTAAGCCGGACATGATTGATATCTACTCCCCAACATGAAGGGGAGTGTTGAAAATCAAACATCAAACGTGACTTGATGTTGGAATATTTTCAGATCTGGCATGATCATTTCAGATTAGGCACGACCCTTCTCTTAATAAGGGAATATTAAAAACAAATTAGACTATTTTTAATTACTTGATTTAAGAAACAATCATATCATTTATTCCTATTCGTAGCTGCTGAGCATTTAGTCCTAAGATTTGAGGTGTTTTAATGCGTTTTATTTCCTGTTTTGCAGCAACTAACTTGTGTTTCATCTCCTCTATTTTATATCAGCCTTTGCTTTGTTTATAATCAATAAAATATTTTTTTCAGTGCTCTTTTGACTTTGATTTACTTTCACTAATGACTACCAACCATCGAATTTGTCGCAAGTTACCTGGATTGTACGTGCTTGTCACCATACAAGGGGAATTGTTGGAATCCCATGATTTCAGGATGTTGTACCCTCTTGTAATCCATGTTTGTCATATGGAACTTTGCCCTAAAGTCAATGGTTTATTTCCTATATTGTTTCCTTGTTTCATGCAATTGTAATTAGGCTTTGATTCATGTCTTGCCTGATCATGTGCCAAGGCCTCCTAGACATTATCCATTCAAGTGCCAAAATGCAGCCACCAAATGTCTTAAAGGAGCGCAAGTTCAAATAACGCCCTAAGATACTCAGACAAGTAAAGAGATTGTCAATGACATAATAGTAAGGACCACCAATCACAACCTAAATAGATATAACTACCTCTAGTGGAGTCAATTTGTCATGACGTTCATCTAGCAAAAAGGAAAGCAAGACTACCTAAGTAGAGAAGCTGCCAAACCCAAAGAAAATGACTTGACATACTAGTTTGCAAAGCTCAAATCAATCAATTCATGCTCTAGCTTATCAACTCAATTACTACTAGATTTGTGAAGAAGATTGAAAATTCTAAATCCAATATTCTCCTTGCTTTAACAAGCTACTGTGTTCCTTTGCATTAACAAGCTTTAAATTTCAATAAATCATTGTTGATTCTTCATCAAATGCCCTATTCTTCCACATAAACTTTTAAACGTAGCCAGCTGAATCGAAACAGTGGTAACAACTAAAGAGTTAAGACATAAGATTTTCCTCCCCTTTTCTTGTCACAAATCATGTAACATCCTATATGACCAATTAATCAAGATTCAAGTGGCATTGATCTCCAAGTAGGGGAGACACTTTCCTAGCATGATTTTCTATGTAAAAGGTTCTAAATCAAAACCTTGCTTAAGGACTATTGTAACAGTTTAAATTCCCTTATTGATCTACTCTAGGAAGAGGTGTGTGAGTCCTTCTCTGGAGAGAATTAAAGCTAGGAATTTAAATACCTTTTATGCTTTGTTGCCATCTATCTTATGTCCCAGTGTTAGTTATTTTCAGTTTCTGTCCTAGAGTCTAGGTGGGTTACTTTCAGTTATTATGTCAGACTATTTAAGTCAGTTATATACTTGTTTCTTTTTCTTTAGGAATGAAGTACGATCCAGTATAACTGCTATTCTCCTTCCTTGGAATTTGAAATTATAGTCCTAGAGTTTCTTCCTTCTTCTCTTCCTGTTTCCTTTCTTCTTTATATTTGTCCTAAATTTTCCAGAACCCATCAACTATTGAGCTCCTTACCTTTCAACTAAACCACAGTTGGTAATATAAGACTTCTCATGTCATCATTTATTGAGCAAGTTATTCTATTATCTTACCAGAAGAGAGTCCCGCAGCAGATCCAGCAGCCAAAAGAGATAGCATTCAGCCAGAACTCTTGTCAAAGAAAAAACCAATAGCTTTGGCAATGGAAGTACCAATATTAATACCGGGACCCTCAGGACCCAAGGAATTCCCTGTGCCTAAAGTGATACAAGCTACTATGGCCTTTAGAATAGGTTGGGATGCAGACTTAAGATAAGCAAATATGCCACGCAATGGATCTTCATCAGTCGAAGCAAGATGCTAAAGAAGTAGGTTCAACATGGCAACATTCAAGCCCCCTACAAGTAGGTATTAAGATTATCCTAGTCCAGGTTGCCTGAATTGGCTCTTCTCTTAACCACGATGCCCCTTGATAGGGAATCCCATCCCAAAAACAATCACGAATTTCATGGACCTATCAATTTTAAAATAAATCATACATTATGACAAGCCAAAAGATGATAGAAATAGAAACAATAGGAGGATAGAATGGGGACCTACAGCTCAAAATACTCCTCTCAAATCAGATTACAAGCTATACAAGTGAGTTACTTAACTAACCTCATAACAAAACAAAATAACTATAACTCATCGGGTACATTCATAATATTCCTAACAATTAGTCATGTTTTGTGAGGAAGAATACTGGTTTAACATGGATGAATGCACATGCCAGTGGCTAATACTGGTTTAAAATTGTAACTCACTAGATTATTGAAGAGCACAACAACGACGCCAGTAAGAAGACCAACTAAGTAGGAGGATATTATTCCTGAATTTCCAGTGGGCAGCCTCCATCTTGTTAATTGTAGTTGGGCTGGTGTTCCTTCATTAACATCCTCGTCCTTAGTATGGATTGAGTCGGAGTGCCCGCAGTTGTTATCATCGGGCAACGCAGACAGAGGCCTACGACTTATTCGGCATTTCGAAAAACAACAATTTCCACCTTGTCTTTTGTTTATATAACTAGGGAGGGTCGATGGCGGCAATGACGTTTTTACTGAATGCTCATAATTTGTACAAAAAGATGCAAGGATCCACACACAACTTCCTACTACACAACCCAAACCTCCCATTGCTCGCCTCTCGTCGGCTTCCTTCCCCTCAATCTACTTCTCACACGTTTCTTCTTTTTTATACTTTTCTCTGTGACTTCTTTTGTGTATTTGTGAGGATAATGATATTAGGACAATAACATAAAGAAGGATAGGAGGGGGGAAAAGAAAAGAAAATCATTCAATTTTTACAACCTGTTTGGATTCAGGTTGCAAAATAACTTATAACTTGTTTGTGGACAAAAAACAATAGAGAAATCTGTGTCGTGTTTAGAGAAACTTTTAGGTCAAAAGCCGCTTAATAAGCTGCTTATGATGAGAGCCCTCCCACCTGCTTTTGGCTTTTAAATCGTACTTATTAACGGTGGTTGGCGAGATAGTTAGAAATAATTAATAAGCTGCTTATGATGAGAGCCCTCCCTTCGCATAATTATGCACTGAATTTTCTTAACATGGTTTTTTTTCTCTATATTATTTTCCATTTTAAAATTATTTTTTATTTCATATTTACATAAATTGTGCACAATACACCATCCAATTCATTGCTCCTTGTGTCCCCTTTGCATAAACAATCTGGATTAAATCACGTAAATAAAAAAGTCAGTCAAAACTGGTTGAAGACAATAAATGTGTAAAAATTAGAAGTTTTTTTTCCTTTTAAAATTCCTTTATTTATAGGAGAGAGAGTATAAGAAAGAAAATAAAAATTTTTATAATGAAGAGGGTTTTTGGCATTAAGAAAAATCAATTACAAAAAAATTTCATGCAATTTAAGACAAAACTCCTTTTATATGTTTATTTTATATATCGTAAAATCACTTTTAAAATTATAGTTTAATTTTCACCTAAGTATCCCAGAGAGAATTATGAGAGAGAGAGAGAGAGGATGAGTTATGGAGAGGGATTATTTTCCTACAAATTTTTTTCCCTAATTTTTTACAAACAACAATTTAGTATTTATCTATTTATATTTTGATTTTTAAGACTTCTAAATAATTAATTTTTAAGATCCTTTGTACTAATATTATTATCTTTAAATTTTTTTCTATAATTTTCATATTCCAATTTTATCGGATGACCCCAAAGGACTATAACTTTCAATGTTCAAGTCATTGAAGTCATTGCCTTTCAAATGAGAATATTAATTAAAAAATTGACAAAAAATTGAAAAAAATAGGCGTGTTTTTTTTGTAAAACAAAAATAAGAATTATGTGATAAAAATATGTATAACTAGGCATTACCGATAATTCAAAGAAAAAGAACCATATAGGCAATTTGAAGACAAGGCCCGTTTGCTACAGTAGGATTTATTTTGATAAAAATGGAAATAAAAATTAAGATGGATATGAATATGGGTTTTAAAAGTATGACTAATATGTTTTGGCCAATAAAATATACGTGCAAACCAAAACACTCTGTTGTTAAAAAAATCATATTTGCAAAACCTGAGATTTTTTTTAATTGAAGCCAATCCCATCAATAATTGATTCCCATATGGGAACCAATTTCATGCTCTAATATCTATACCAAACATATTTATAGTATAAAATTTAATTCCATTTTTTAATTCCACAAGTTCAATTGTAGCACATCAAATGGGCCATTTAGCAAATTACAAAATGTTGTAGTAGATTCTAGGGTGTGGGGTTTGGGGTTTAGCGTCTGGGTTCTGGGTTCAGGGTTCATGCTTTGGGTTCGGGGTTTTAGGGTGTTGGGTTATGGGTTTGGGGCTAGGGTTTTTGGGCTTGGGGCCTGGGGTTTGGGTTTGGGGGCCTGGGGTTCGGGTTTTAGGGCTTAGGGCGTAGGGTTT